TGGTTTTTGTAGGAACTCCCACGAATCGCTTGTTTATGTTCATTCAATTCATAGGTATGTTTTTATACGACTTTCAAAACGTCAATAGAAACTGACTTGGTGAACACGGCTGGAGAAAGTTTAGGAAAACATAGACACAAAAGCTGGTTTAGATTCTTAGAAATGAATGAACAGTTAATATACAATTTATGTGTTAATCATCATACACACAAAAAACATCATAAAGGGAAAAATATGTTAGAATCCCAATATGAAAACGGCAAGAAAATTATAACCAATATTTGTGAACACGATTTTTTTATTCCGTATAGTTATTTTTAACCCCCGACACAAAAAGAGGGGTGTTATAAGTTTGACGTGTCTGTGTGTGTCTGTCTGTTGTTCTTTTTTTGTTAAAGTTGACTTATGCGCGCGTGTTCTTAGGCATGTTTCATGAAGATCGGTTGAGCCGTTTAAAAGTTGTGGGGGCTGAAAGTATTGAAGAATAACCGAATGTCTGCAAATACGAGTATATTTGTGAAGTGGGCTCTCAAACGTAAGCGCACTGAAGGAGAATATCGATGACTTAATCGAGAGTGTTCTTAGCTTCTTAGAGTTGAAGATTAATATAAATATTAAGTATCAGTTATTAGTTATAGAAACAAAAATTATGAATTAATTAATACAATGAAAGCGATCAAGCTTGACCCTAAATGTAATCTTTACCTTAAATATAAATTTTTGACAAGAATCTACATTATAATAAGTAATAAAAATAATAAATAGAAATTAAAAAAGAAAAAATAGATACCCCGACACATAAACCTAAGTTCCCCTTAAAAAATAATAAAAGGAACTCAATTTTAACGTACGTAAATATGTATTGATAATTTAAAAAAGGATCGTTGGGGACCGCTCCAAACTTAACAATTTAATACGTCACCCAACGCGACGTATTTTTTAATGTACTGATTTATTACCCACCTCGCATTTCACATTACTTGAGTTTGTTGGTTTGAAAAAAATGTATTTTGCATTTGAAATTCAATTGAAATTATAAAGGAGAACAAGCGGAAAGAGCCTTCCGATGATGCAATTAAGCCTCGAGTAGTTTACAGTGAACGCATATTTTTATCAGATTAGGTTCACTTCGTCGTCGGGGCCAGCGGAGGTGGTTGGCAGCCGCTCCCGCATTGCACGATTTCGTCTGTCTTGGAGAGGCACTCGATTTAGCCGAGTCTCTCCAATTTTCCATCTGCAAGGGGAGCAATGATCCAATACTTGAGTGTCCTGGTGACTCAGCCATAGCTTGCCGGTTTTCATTTCCCATGAGAAGGTGTAGAGTACGGTTTTTGGTGTGTAGGCCTCCGGGGACCCACCGGGCAGCTCACTGTCGGGTTCACGGAGGAGAAACCTACTCATCAGAAGTTTTTCCACGACGTTAAAAAACTTAGATTCACGTCAACTGAAGTTAAGAACGTAAAGACAACTCGAGTTGTATATATTTTTTTCTCTTATTACTATTCTTTATGTTAATACTCTTTTTTTTACATACAAATTGCTGAAGATACGTACTTCAAAGTTGGTATTTTCAGTCTTCGCTGGAAAAAATGGTTTATTCATTGGTCACAACACATATGTATAATATTACGCGAGTCTGAGGATCGATTCAGAGTAGCTTGGTGGCGTAGTGAATAAACGCCAAGGCTAGCGACTGTAGTTGTTAAGCAACTTTCGCAAAGGTCGTTCACAGGATGGGTGTCCAAAAAATATTATCTCAAGCAACTCCAAGCTTTGGAAGGCACGTAAAGTGATTGGTCCCGGTTGAATTTGCAGTCGTTAATATCCTCCAATTCGCATTGGGCCAATATGGAGGGTCGTGGCCCATTCAAATGAACTTCAATTGAAATTATAAAGTGTATAGGTAAATTAGAAAATAAACATAGTTGCATATAAAATGTTAAAATTATTATGATATTTGTTTTTATTATTTTTTTTTCTTTCTTTTTACTGTCTACGGGCCAAAATTTATGAAAATAATAAAAAAAAACAAATAAAAATTTATTTCTAGGAAATAAGTATAGACAAATAAGAGAAAACTTTTCAAGCTCACCATTGTGCACTGATACTAATATTATTGCAGCATTTTGTTGACGACATAGGCACCGTTTGCGCAATTCTTGTTATTGATTCCTTCATTAAATGGTGAAATTATATGAAATAATATAAAATTAAAAACAAACTCCAAAAAAAATGTAGTTTGCGGAATGAAAAAGACACAAGTTTATGCATACTATACGTATCTGGCTGATTTCGGTATCATTAAAAAGTTTTAATTTTAAGGGACATAACTCCGATTTCCAATTAGGAAAATGTATGATTTTTATTTATTTTTCTTACAGCAAAATAAGTGAATCTAATGCAGCAATTCAATAGGGTAAAAGCCGGATAGTTGCCTCGGAAGGATACTTGCCTCAGTTTCGAATACACTATGTTAGGCTTGTTGCTCGTGTTTGGACTTGATTATAAACGGAAGTGCCCCCCATGTAGGTCTCTGTGTAGCAAAAGCCGTTGAAATAGACGCGCGTGGTTTGTCTGTGTGAACAAAAAACTTCGGCGGCGATGCTTTGACGAGCGTTAGAATTATATTAGTAAGTAATCTCTGTTAAATATTTTTATTACTGATTACGATTTCAGCAATTTTTTGTGTCTTTGCATACATTTGGGTTTAAATTGCACTGTTTATTACTTTTTATTAATTAATATCTTTTATTTATTTCTTAAATAAATAGGGCAAGTACCCGTATCAAAAAGGATAGTAGCCCTATTGACTTTTGCGGATAGTTGCCTTAGGGCAAAAAACTGTAACTATAATTTTTTTAACGAGCAAAGACAGATATTTTTTCTTGGTGTTTTTGCATTTATTTTTACTAATAAAAGAAATATCAACTCAACAGCAAAATGTCTCGTAAGTATAAACTAAAGCCGGGCGTTGTGCCGCTCCACATCAGCTGGACAGAACACACACAGTTTAGTACTTGCGTTCGAAGAACTAGATAAACAAACCCTGGCTTCTGATGATAATAAATGCTAATGTCAAAATAGATTATTATATTTCATTAATATTTTGGATATCTAAATACCATTTTGGAGTCTATTTTTGTTGTAATTTTATAATCACAGTTTAACTTTAATGATTAATTAATAAAAGATTGCAGTAAATAATAAAAGCTGATTACTTTAATTAATATAAGTTAATTTTTTTTTGTAAAAATACATAGACAGGCATCTATCTTCACATGAGGCAAGTATCCCCCGAAACATTTTTAACGCTAGGCTACTATCCGCCATAACAGGCAACTATCCCCTTTTTTAGAGGTCAAATAAAACGGGATTTACTCAAAACTAATAATATTTATGTTTAAAAAAATTGGCTACGATAATAGATTAATAAACGATGTTCAAGAATACGCTTTGAATAAAGAATTAACTAGTATACATTTTGAATAAAATAGCTTTTTTAAAAAGTGTGGCAACTATCCGGCTTTTACCCTGCATTAAAACTTTTTTGGGTTTGGCAAAAAATTGGTTTAAGCGTATCCAGTCCGGAAATATTGATGACAAAGATGCACGTCACTTGGGTCACTGTATTACGGATAAAATGGATGCTATTTTTGAAAAATAGAGTATGATTGGCATATTAGTTTCTACGTAGCTGAAGAATTGGGAATTGACTACAAAAGAGTTTTGGCGTATTTGGAAAAGCTGGGTACATAAAAATTTCATATTTGGATAGCTCACGAGTTAACTGAAAGAAACCTAATGAACCATGTACTCATTTGTGATTCTTCATTCATTCTCAATGAAAACGAACCATTTTTGAAGAAGCTGATAACTGGTGATAAAAAGCAGATTACATACGATAAGAACATACGAAAAAGGTCGCGGTCAAAGTTCGGTCAGTGTGGCGAAACCTGGGTTAACTCGCTACAAGGTGATGCTGTGTGTATGTTGGGTATGGAAGGGCGTTGTTTATTATGAGCTATTACCGCTAGACAGGACCATCGATTCTGAACTCTACTGCGAACAACTGATGAGATTAAAGCAAAAAGTGGAGAGAAAGCGGCCAGAATTAAGCAATAGAAGGGCTGTAGTTTTTGAATCATTATAACGCTAGGCCTTACACATCGTTTACCATTCCGCAAAAATTAAGAGAGTTTTGCTGGGAGGTGTTAATGCATCTGTCGTGTAGCCCCGACCTTGCACCTTCCGATTTCCACCTGTTTCGGTCTCTTTAGAATTCTTTAGGCAGTGTTAACATCACGCGAGGACTGCCAAAAACACTTGTCTCGGTTTTTTGATCAGAATCTCCAAAATTTCTATATAAGCTACTTTAGTTAAATGTAAATAAACTTTATTAAAACATGTTTTGAATTTTCATATAAAATGCGAAGAGACTGTTTCCCCAACCAATATAATGTAATATTAATAATGTTTAAGATACCTTTGACATAGTTTTTAAAATCATTATGAAATAAAATTCAGCATCCTTATTTTAATATGGATTAACTGAGAATTTGTTCGTACGTTGCATTTTTATCCCGAAATTGTCACGAGAAAATATTGGACTGAGCCATAGCGAATCTCGGTCAGATTATGCTAAAATTAAAAGACTCCATTTATCTTTTGAATCATTCGTTCCATATAAGCAATAACTGCGCAAACAATGATTAGCGAATTACGTTATTGTTATCTTAAGAACTGGCACGGTGACAACAATATGCATTTAATAAATTGCACTTGTTAATTATATGTAATTAGTATGCAAGAGTGGATGTCATATTTATGATTATTTAAAAATGCAAGGGGAAACTTTGCTGCGCAGACTCAGGCCGAGAATGGTCTAACTAACCTAACCCAGTGCCGCCACGTGAAAAAATTAACGACTTACTTTTTTTTTTTTTTTTTTCTATTGTTGTATCAAGCGAAATCAGATGTTATTTTGTTTTCTATTGTTACAGAATCGATTTCAATAACCCCGGCACGGACAAACCAGCCAACCTCGCTAACTCGGCTGTCCTAAGGATGCTGGAAGAAGAAGAGCGGAACCGCAGGGGATATCCTAGTAAGTATTCTTTTTTTAAATACGCCTAGAAAAACAATCCTGCATGCATACCTTCTTTATTTATATTTCCCTACTAAATATTGACATAATTATTTAATGAATAATCTTTATATTCTTCCTGTACCTATCTTTGCAATGAAAACTTTCAACGAATGGTTATAAGCATTTATCCTTCCCGAAATCAATGACGTGCTCAAATATTTATATATTTGAATTCGTTAAAATAGTGTGGTATATATCAGTGATCTAAGCTTACTAACGCTACTAAATATTGGTGCTGCTTTGCCAGAGTTAGACCCTACTCAAGTGCAGGCGATTCTGGACACCCTGGTACGCACCGACCACCGGTTCGATTCCCACTGGCCCCCAGAGCAAGCCAGGATGCGATCAGCGCGCAGCTGGGATGGCCAACTCAACCACGCAGGACATATTTACTCTGAATTCATGAAGGCTACCAAAGGTACTAGGGCCGGGTAGAATAGATGCTTTCAATGTAACATAATTTTTTATGTAGAATTTTAGATTAGGGAAGCTTTTGATTCATTTCATTGTTTATGTTTTACAAAATATTGCCCATCATATGTTTCGTTTATGTTAGTGATCTTTATATACAATATTGGATATTAAATTGATTTTGTTATAAACTAAAACAAAGACAAAACTTCCAATGTCAATTTGAAATCAAAAGATGTACCTAAAGCAGACTGTAGACGTATATTAGCTGTCTACGTCGCAAATGATTCATTGGAACTTATTAATGAACATAGTGTCCAATACCCTATGGAGTTTAATGGCCGAGCATTTAATTTTGTTCATGTACTTTAGCTTGTATGACAGAAATACGCCTACGTATGACGAAAATTCGTTCATTAGTAAAAAGTGTTTGGCAAGGATTGGAAGTTAAGAGAATGTGCCTGTACCTGCTATTGTTTGTGGTAGTACAGAACCGACATCGGAGGAGCACTAACGAGCGACATGTCTGAGACCGTGTTTGTTGGTAAATCGATACCTACTTTATTCACTGTGCCTTAGTTTCTATAGAAGAATATCTGATACTTATAAATGTGCTTATTCAGCAAAAATGTGCTATAAAGTGTGCTTTTCAAAACATGTTAACGTATCATCAGTGATTTACCAGGACTTAACATCCGTGTTCACACCAATTGATCTAAACAACTAAGGACAGTCGTGTAATAACGCCCAATGTTTTTGACTACTGTAATGCTATAAACCAAACCCAAACTGAAATAGGTCATATTTAAACAAATTTTTGGCTTTATAGCTCTCCAACGGTCTAAAACAGTGGGCATTATTAGGCGATATAACCTTACAATACGTTAGTGTTTTATACGAATACAATAAAGAGAATTTAAATAAAACTTCGTACCTATGATCTAATGATATTTACTGTTGTTGGCTGTTTATCGTTTTAAATTTTATCGTTCATTACAATTCTCATTGTCAATAATTCCATAAGAAATTTATTGAGTTACGTTGACATTTTCCAGATGTTATCGACATTTGAGATCATGATAAAAATTACACGCTGTTTACCAACAAACAGCGTTTAATTTTGAGCGAATAACTCAGAACGACTAGAGAGACATGCCTAAGGTGTTTTATTTTCGTTCGTCATTAAAAAACAAGATTTTTACGATATTTTTTAAAGTTTCGTTAGGACAACTTAGTTTTATATTTATAATTGATGCTAAATTGAAAACAAAAGTATATTACTATTATACATTTCATATGATAAAAAGTTAACTTATTTAAAGTACATAGGTATCGTGAGTACTTAATCACGTGTTGTAGAAAACTAGAAGCTTACATATTGCAAACTCCATTCATATTATTTCCAGCAGTGACGTAAGTTCTAAATATAAAATCATGACTGAGATAAAAAAAAGCGTTATTACACCTGTATAATAATAAAAACATGTTAATGTTGATTTTACAAATACCAGCAAAATGTAAAAGCAGCCAGACGCCGCACTGGAGAGTTCACTTATAAATTTTATTATCGCACTTTTTTCAACTTGTTGCCATTTCTTCGAAAAATTCTTTTGAAACAACAATATGAGTGTATCGTTTGACGTAATAGAAGACTATTTCGGATGAGTCCGCACCGCTTTATGAATCAATGTCTAATAATATATGAGCGCTGAAAAGATGCAAATGACAAATGGTGGTATTTCAATAGGTGTGTGTAGCACTGACATGCACGCCGTTAATGATTTAGACAAGTGCTAATGTTATGACATTGTTAATTTTTATGTAACTAGTAAACACTGCTGACTTCATGCTAGAATTATCAAAAAACAATCATTTTCAAGGCAATTAATCTGAAAACAACGAGTTGAAATGTAAACACAATAGTTTCAAAAATAAGAATTGTTTCAAAAGATAAATAAATATTAATGAAGCAATGCTACCACCTAAAGTAGTGGTTTCTAGAGTTAATGGAGCTGCGACCAATCCAACTTTGAAAACATTGGGCCCCTTCTTTGCTAAAGATAGGGAAATAGAGAACAAAGATTCTCTAATGACAATTCATGGAACTATTTAATACTGCCTTATTTATTATAAATGAAATTAAAAAAAAATCTATACAGTGGCGAATAGCCTAATAGGACCCATTCAATATGATCAAACCAACAGTGGATCGTGACCTATTGTTTGGGAAGTACTGATTTAAAGTATTACAGAATTGATTTATGCAACATGTTTACTTCAAACTCTGTTATTAAGGTAAAGTAGCTATGTTCATATCTGCCTTTGATATTATAAAATAATCACAAGGTAGTGATCATGCGCTCAACGATTGCTTGAAGCAATTTGTGGGCGTTATTAAAAAAAACTGGTCCTTAAAATTGTATCTTCTCGCTTGGACGGCGATATTCAGCCGAGTATAGCTAAGAGGCTTAAACAAGTTAATAACAAATTATCTATAGCCGGTAGCGACGACCACGGTGTTCAACTACTCGTACCGTTTGTAATTTATGTGCGTCTCATGGCTCAATGGATGAGCTAATTGCGACCATGTCCCTATAATAAAAGAATATAAGCACACCACAGCTCCACAACTACTAAAATACCCACGATCATTATATCGTCTCTTGATATGATCTTAAATAATTACACCTTCCGTGCGTGACACGAGTAAGGATTTCAACTATTTCGGCACTTTCTTATTTATTCTTGAATCAGCCCTATTAAGTAGATACATGTAAGGATACGTTAAATCATTTGATTAGTTAAAACAAGATATTATAATACACAACAGTTTGTTTTGTTTAATATAAAAATTATTACAAAACTCGATATTGTGCCGTATAAAGAATATGTATTTTTTACCTTTGATATAAAGGTATAACCCATATCATAGACATTATTATAATACTAGGCTATCCTATATTGTCATAAAATAACGACGTCTTTAATATAACGATTATATTGTGAAAAAATATTATATATAATATTCAAAATAAGTTAGTTCTAGAGAAGATTATTAGATTTATTTAGGTACAATTTACGAGATCAATTACGTACCATGTCCATGCCTATCGATTTTTCTGAAAAGAATAGGCTTTCAGGTCTCATGTTAATTCGTACAAGTAGTAAGTGAATAGCACTCGTAATAACTCCTAAACTACCAGAGAGTGCTTGAATCAATCGTGATGTGCCTTCCAGCAATTCTTATTTTCGTGATTGCTTTGAACATAACGCTCACAAATAACAGAATATTTAGTAAATCTCAGTTATGTTAATATAACTTATATTATTGTATTTTAATTAACTTAGGGTTACAAGTGTGAAAAACCTGTCACAATTGACAAACATTTTATATTACTGAATCACTTGTACCCTTTTTCACAGACTCCACGAAACAGAATGTGTACTAGAGGCAATTATTTTTCAACTGAAACGTTTACCTAATTATAATCAATCTTGTTCCTAAGCGACAAATAACGCAAAATCTCAACAGGTGTAATTAAAACTATGCATAAATGAGGCTGAAAACAGTTTTCGTGGGTGAATCCAGTATTGCCGGAACGTGGCGTATCGTCGACAAGCGAGAGAGAGAGGGGGACAATGGTCTCCTAAAAATGTGGTCTCAAAATATAATATGCGTTAGATATTTGCGCACCTGGCGAACGAGCCAAGTAGTCAAACGTTGTCCTGTCGAGGTAGCGGTTGACGCGTTTTAAGTTCCAGACGATCTGATCTGATCAGTGAGTCAGTTATTTCTCTCTCTCTCTCTCTCTGTTGTGTTAATTTTATATTTGTTTAACTAGTATTTAGTGACTGTTTTGTTATAAAGTGAGAAAAAAAAATATACCCTTGTTTATACATTTTCTATAATGTTACTTAACATCGTGTGCCACCTTATTGACTTTTCCAGTGAAATAATATACCTAATGAAAAATTGCTAACAGAGGCTGGTATCTGAAAAATTGCTAACAGTTAATCCAATATGAAACTTGACAATTTATGAGTATTTCTATAGAATTTACCTATTGGTATGGTTGAGGCTTCACTAACGTTCAACGAGTTACTTAACATCAGGTCACAAGAAAGTTTAAAGACCTTCGGCGAAAGCGTAACCTGTTTTTGTCATCGGTCTTGTAAAATTGCTTATTTTGTAACATTTTTTAATAAGCTAATGTAAACTAACACCTACTTATCCTATCCATCTTTGCAAAATGTATTTTTGATATTATTTTGTTTAAACAAACAATAACTTTATTTTAATTTGCAAACGTTTTTATTATTTCGTTTAAAATTTAGATATGGTCTATTTTGTGTTTTGTTCTAACGTTTTGAGGGTTATGATTTTAAGATTATACAATAATGCACCTGACTTCATTATTGATATCAAGTTCCCAATTTATTTTATACTATATCTTATTATAAAATCTAATCGAAAAATTATAAGAATACCTCTAACCTATAATATTAGTGCTTGTTTATGCAAATATTTTTTTACAAAGTATTTTTAATTTCAGTTGTAACGAACCTAAGTCATTAAGAGTGACTCATGACAAGTCTTGTTTTTTCAAATTCTTTGTTGAAATTAATTAATTACATTTTGGCAAAACGTATATATAAACCAAATTTATATTACCTAGTACAAAATATTTATTTTTTCTCGTGTTACTCTGGCATAGCTCCAAGAGCGCGGTAGGTAGACCAGGCTAATTTCAAGCGAAATATCTCATAATAAGCGTTTCAAAGTGTTGAATGCTTAAATTCGTAACCCTGATTTCGTTTAATACCTACACACTACAATGTTGTGGCGACTTTATCACCAGACATAAATCAGCAAAAAGAAGAAAGCTATTTATGTCTGACACGATGCGAAGGGCAACCGAAAAATTATAATCATATTCTGGACCTCTATTTTTCAATCACTCTTTTAAAATCTTCTTACTATCTACTACATACGTCATATTCGATTTCTTAGATATATCTAATACAGTGACATATGACACCGTTTTTATGCATTTTTGAATAGTCCTTTCGATACTGACAAAATAAATCATTGCAATGAAAAGTAAACCCGTTTTAGATGTATGGAAAATAGTTTTAAAAGGGCAAAGAGTGTCGGTGCATATCTAGTAAAAGATGCGTCAGGTAATTGTCGATCGCGTAACGTTAGAACGTTACAGTAATTGTTCTTTGCTTCGTACATACGATGGAAGATCCGTCGCGTACTTTCGCATATTTCCGAAAAAAGTTTAGAGCTTCCATCAGATTTGCGCCTAAGCTTAAATGTAGCTCTTGCTTTATGTCTCCTTTGTTTCGAATATGGGCAGAATATATATAAAATGTATTTAAATCTGTTTGATGTCAATAAATCAGAATCAAAGTTAAAATTTAATGTTTCTTGTATCTAAGTACCCATGAATAACTTTGTATGTCATGCTATCATTCGCTTCGTTGTCATTCGACTACTATTAAGTGATTGATACTACTCGTTGCAGACGAGAAAATCAAAAATATTTAAAAACTTTTTCTGAATATAAATGAGTGGAAAACGAGCGGTAAATCAGATGATTCAAAAATAGAGCTCCTGAATTTTTAGACCCTAGCGAATGATATTTACCTATATCAAAAGTAAAATGTAGGCATCAAAAAATTGCTGAATCTTTTTGGTACCTAAGTAGCATGTTTTACGAAGTTTCGTGAAAATCCAATCATAAAACAAGGACTTATTTTGTTGTTACAGGCCAAAAGAAAGTCGTGTGGCCGCCAGTGCCCGAGACAAACGGCTATCATCAGCCTCAACAGGTAAAATACACTGTATTATTCTCACTAAACATTTAATGCATTTACGAAACATTGGGATTGGTGACTGTATATATAATTTGCAAGTGATGAAAGCTGCACATACAAAAGCTTCGATGGCGGGATTATAATTGCATGTTCATGAACTACGGTGGAAACCTTATCTTAGCAGCAGTGATGTTTTAGATTCGAATGACACGTTTCTGTAAAGAATGTTTTCTTTACAAGAAAATTCATTCGAGTCCTAATGAAAACGCAATAAGCTAAATGAAATATTGCCGAAATGGGTATAAAATTACAGCTTCTCTGCATAATTTCAGTAATAATACTAAACCATGAGATAAGGCTACCTACATTATCAAATAATTTTATTAGCTAAGCATTATTGAATCCCAACAGCAAAATACCGCATACAACGCGCAGTACTCGCCGTCAGCGCAGCCGCAACAGCAACAATACCAGCAGCCCCAATATCAACAGCCCCAATACCAACAGCCCCAACATCAACCACCTCAATATCAACAGCCCCAATACCAACAATCCCAAAATCAGCACCAATATCAACAACAAGCGCCACAATCTCAACCGGGGTATTGTGAAGGGCGTCGCCAAGAGACCACCGGCCTTAGCAAACTAATCCCTGTAGGGCCAGGAGTTACTGCCGGCCCTACACCCCAGTCTCCTTATCGCCAAGGTCCTGCGTCACCAGGGATTGCCCCACAGCCCTACCGACAGCAGAGCAGCCGTTGGGCCCCTGTGCCTGCTCCTCTTTCCCCACAGGTATCGGTCTGCGTTGCCGATAGATGTAGTTGTCATGCACTTCAAAAATTATATAAAAAAACGTAGCCTTCAGGTATCGGCTAGTAAAACATGAAATGGTTGCAAAGCTTTAAATAAATGTTTAAATATAGATGATGATGATGGTATAGATGATTGAATCTCGCGAGAATACTTAATAAGTGTCCACTTAAAATCATGAAAACATATATAATCTAAGGCTTCTTTCATATAATTTAAATATTTTTATTAGCTGATGAATTTCTCACCCTTACAGTTATATATTTTTTTTATTCTTTCCATTACAAAATTTAGATAATCTTAGGTCCCACAAAATTATAATGATATACCTATAATATACTATATATATACTATAATATGACTTATGATGATATACCTGAATGCCGCGTATCTTCTGCAGTGAATGTATTCCACTAATTCCTACTGAAAGCCAGTTCAGGTTCTGGTTTAATGTGTTCATCGTTTATGGCTTGCTGCATATGCATTTCGAATGTGAATTTTGCTTTTTACAGCGAAGAAAAGCAGCTTCATAAATCTTTGTTACGTTTAACGGACACTTTTAGCATATTTCATTATCACTGAGAGCATTTATCTCGCTTCGCGTTTGTGGTAAAAATAATCATTGTTATTTATTTATAACTACTTAACCGTTTTGTAAGTTATGGCAAAGTACAGTTGCTATTGCTATACAATATGACCTAACCTACTAAAACAAAAAACTCCAAGAAATTTAACATATTCTTTTTTTATTTAAAAATGACTGTTGTAATAGTTAGCTAAACATACATGCTCACTAAATACGTTAATTTGGGACCAAATACATTTAAAGTTTTCTTGCTAAAATATTTAATTAATTTAACTTTACTGCTAGCCCCTGCTTTTAGAATAATCTAAAAAATGATGAAATTAAGTACTTTAGCGTTTACTTTTATTGTAGTTCAACAACGTAATACGAATCCAACTTTAATTTGATAAATATACTTACACTCAAACTATAATTGTTATTGTGTCAGTAAAACAACAAAAAGTGAGTATTTATGAATATAAGGAAACGAAAAATTTTTCTGTAGAAAACTTATGTCTAATTATTTTGATTTATTTACATTGGTAAATTTAAAAGTGTATTATACGTCTTAAAGAAAAATGCTCGATACATTTTATTTTATTTATAGCTTTGTGAAGCATTCATAAATATTATCTAGGGCAACGGTAGTGGCCCGCCAAAGTTGAGCTAAAAGACAAACGAAAAGCAAGGGCACTACCTAATTTTTTCTGAAACGCTTCGTCGGATTTTCGGACCCTCATTTGATTACACTAGATACATAAAATTTTACTTTTGATACTTTTGATTTTATTGATATCTAAAAAACCCTGATTACTGTACTTACCTATACACTCACTCACTGATGTTCCCAAGGTGTCTTGGCCGTTTTGTTTCTACAACAGAAAAGTAATGAATAGTGAATATATTTTTGACCTTATGTCCATTTGATGGTAGTGGAACGGCCAAGTCAGATGTTTTGAATACGGTGTAGTAATGTTTGTGAAGTAAGAGCTTGTAGTTAGTGCGTGTAGAGTTAGAATCTTGGCTCTACGAGATCTAATAACTTTTTATCAGTGCGATTCATTTGGTCTCGCCGATCAAACACTTTACATGATAATGTTTTTGGTGGGATAAAGATTTCATCAAATTTAATAAAGATTTTCAATTTTAATCCAGTTATTTTTAGATACATATTACTATCAATAAAATAGACGCTAGAATATTTGTTTTGTAAAAAAAAAACATATTCAATCAGTATCAGCTACTATAAATGAAAACCGAAATTGAGAGGTGTTACAAAGTCACTGCTAGAGCAAGATAAAAAGAAGCCCGGTGGAGTTAGATGATATTAATACTAGTGCCGTTGTGAATAATAATTATCAAAATATTTGTTATTTTTTTGTTTAATTAATATTATTATAACATTGGTTATTAAAACACATCACTCAACAATAATATTTATAATAACTGTGTTTTCAATAGGGGATCGGATAGCAATTAGATAAAAAAATTAAATTGTGTGTTGTTAAAAGTTTGAAGATTATTCGTCAATTCTTCTTTTTTGATAAATAACAATTATATCTATTTTATAAATCAATAAAATAAAATTTAATTTTCCAATATTTGTTGTCGATGTCCCACGTCATAAAAAACATCAATCAGAGGGCATGTACTCATTTTTAGAAAAATTGATCGTAAAACTATCTAGGAAATGCGTGGCAAACATTCAAAATGTAAAATTATTTCAATGATTTACTAGATTTTCAACAGTTTGCAAAGGTCAGTTTTGTGTGTCTGAATACAAGAACTACATATGATAATTCATTTTTTTACTGAAAGTCCCTTTTGTTTTTCCCACAAATGACGTCACGTCCTCCGAGACGTCATTTACGCAGTCATATTAAACAGTTAACCCAAAACTGTAAAATAATATTGTTTGTGGGAATAAAAAAGCATACTGATTAATTAAAAACCGTTTTTAGAAAGTTATCCGGTCCCCTATTCTTTAAGTAATGTTTAAAAAGGGAACAATTTAAAACTAGTTTTTTTTAGTAAGTATGGAGAATGTTACAACAGATTTGGCATCAATAGCAAAATTATCTGAGTTTTTGGGTAAAAAAAAAAACAAACGACTAATTACCGGCATTATCTACCAGACGCACGGTTCCCAGCCAAACTATCAACAGCAGCAGTACTCCCAATCGCAGTACTCACCGTCCCAGTACTCGCCGCAACCACAATACTCGCCGAGCTACTCAGAACCGGCATATCAGACACCGCAGAAACAGTACGAGCCACCACCGACAACTATCACTTTGCGTCCACAACCGCCGGTGCACCAGCAACCACCTCCAGTTTTTCCTAGCCAACCCGCCACAGCATCCTTTAAAGGTTTGTTGGTATAAAAAGTTGACCTCCTTTCAAACTAGCTACATATATTTCTACACACAGTTCCCGTCGTCATTTACATAGAGCAGTCTGTTTGAGAGTGTCTACAGTCGTACGATTACTCATACTTACGTTAAATGACATTCCGTGTGAAATCATCTATAGGTTACTTATGAATAGGAATAACTCATCCAAACCTGCCATTTCTACTACTGAATTCTGTTAGGTACAGATAGTTTATAGATTAGCAACTTCTGTTTTTGCCCATCTTCATTTTACCAATCCAACTGTAGCCTCTCATTTAATAAAACCATAAGACAAAAAGTCATACCTATATTTATACTATGAATTTATACCTTGACAACAGAGTTACAAGTTACGACAAATCATAACCCTAAGGTAAGCAAGTGCAGGACCTTTATTTGATTTACAACAGTAATATCAAGACGCATAAACTTTAAGAACATACGGCACGATACACGCCTTATACTTCCATATAGTAGCGCTTAAATGAGATTGCATTTATATTGTTTCAAAATTGCCGTTTTATAACTGTCGTTGTCGCTTTACAAAAGTGACTCGAGACACATAAAAGCTCTTATAACATAGAAACACGATAGTATAACGTCTTATTTTTATAGACAATTTATGAACTTAAAATGAAGTTAATAACTAAGCAAGTAGAATTGATATCGAAACTAAAATGAGAAATTATAATAGTTTTGGTTTATTTTAAAAATCATGCCAAAGTTACATTTAACACAGATCTGTGTATGGACTTAAAATGTAATAAGTGTACTTACTGTACAAAAATATATAGGTACATCCGACTTATTAGCACATCACCGCACCGCGAACCTCATCCGTAAATCAGGCACTTCGCAAGTACCGAGCCAACGGCCTTTTTATTACGTGACCTAAACTATAATAAAAATTTGTGCCCTCATTACAAAATGTGTTTTATGGTGAACAATATGCTTATACGTGACTTTGCCGCCACGTCGTCGAATGTCTCGATAAAACACTATTCGACGCTGCTCAAGTGGAAAAGTTGCAAAAAAGTTTTTAAATAAAAAAAATTGAAAAAAAAATGCTAAGATATTCTGATAACTTTGCGTACTTAGAACAATATTATCTATTAATTAACTTTGGATATACTGTATGTAGATACTAATAGATTACCTCAGGTAATTAGGTACAAGTATAACCTGTGTTATACTCATGGATTTATTAGGTTAATAATAAATCTATGAATTTATCAGCTCAAATAAAACGTTTGGTATGTTTACAGGAGGCGTCAATATGCGTGGAGACATGAAGTGGCCACCGCAGTCGGTGAAGGAAGCAGTAGCTGCCGAAAATGAAGCTAGGCTACAGCTTGCTAAAGGTCCTGCCTGCAGACCACGCAAGGTACTCACCATACTATTATACGGCAAATGTTTAACACAACCGATAATATCTAACGTTTGAATTGGCAAACCTTACTGGGACTACTCTAAATACCTATCTAACAGAATTTATGGTTGAATATTACCTAAATAAAATATAATTAAAACAACACATGAACCAATTGCATTTCCCCTATTACCGTCATTGGTTACCGGTGCATTTTATTGCAGTTGTACAATCAAAAGCACGCCAGACTAAACCGACAAATTTCTCCACTTGATTATAAACCCTAATGCGTTGAACTTAGAGTTCAGAATCAATTGCAGAAATTTGACATATTGTGACTTGCAGCCAATCATAAAACCTGAAACTGAGTTTTTAAATGCGATGCAAACTTATAGTTGTAGCTGGTTAATGTTGTACATTAGCGGCGTTTCACTATAGTAACAGCACGACGTTTGAATCGGATTAAAAACTCATAGTAAGGCCTTAGCTCATACAATGTCATATTATAATGTAAATAAGAATCTATTTATTTACTGATATCTAAAACTATTCTGTAAATAAAGTATGTACTAATTTCGAACTGAATACAACAATTTACTAATAACTTTTGTACATATAAATAAATTTGTGTTTCTTTGCAACTAAGTATACCTACCTACTTACTAATTATGATTAGTGCTCAATAAAAATACAAAAGTAACACTGGCACGGCCCAACTTAAACAACAATTTTAATACTATTTTATAAGGATGATTTGAAACGGGTTAAAAACATTACTAAAAGTACAAGATGTTGGGCCCTACCGTTATGTAAAATGTTGCACAAAATTTTGTTTTAGCTGCGGCAATTCTCGCTTGCCGAATTAATTGCCATGAACGAGGTGTAGGAGTCGTTCCATACTAAAGCAGGACTTAATGCCGAGTCGTAAGTGTCGACGTTTGGGAGCGTGAAGCATCTTCTATTAACAGACTCCGACACTTGCCCCCATGTACCACTATTGAAAAAAAATAAAGCTAAACAGGATATGAGAGATATGTCGTAGCAATATGACAATCACAATCATAATCTACAATATATAAAGACAAAGATTTTGAAATATTTTTCTTATTGTGTCTGTGAAGTAACACTTTGTAATGGCTATTTATCTGCTCCAAACCAATTGAATTTATAAAACATTTAGGTCAAAATAATACCCATTATCTCTCTATTCCGTTACCGTTCTTACGCTCGGTACTTGGCTTACCTCGAGCTAAAATTTTCAGCTTTTATACAACATCAAACTTGAGTCATCCTCCGAAGACAGATACAATTTTGCCATCTGGAACCCGCACAGGAATTAAGAGGTTGGTGAAGGTAATAAAATGTGAACAAAACGCGCGGGTCGACGTATAACTATTACTTCGCTTTTATTGTATAAATCAGTATCGTGTAAGTTTGAATTTTATAAATTCAATAGTGGTACGGGCCCTTGGAGGGTGACACTAGCATAGATTAGTCGTACCTCGTCTTAGCCGCGAACACCTAACTCGCGATCAGTATAGGCTTCGCAATTCTATGACATAGGTAGACAACGTTTTAGGAGACTTTATTCGACTTAAAATAAGGTTCTTTTCAGTTTAATTTTAACTCTGTCCCTCTTGGATCTAACATATTTTATGTGTATATTATATTTGAGGTAATTTGTTTATGCATGGTAATAAATAAAAAATATAGAGAACCTTTAAATTAATAATAGACACTGCTATATTGTTTTCAAACGAAAGAACCTTGTTTTCGTACAGAATGTTGATTTACTTTATTATTTGGACAAAGTTGTCAACCTATACATTTCATTGCATCATGTAATAGACTAAACACTACATAAAGAACATATATTCTTTCTCTCCCTTCAGCTTTGCTTAGTATAGTTGTTTAGGATATGCATGGATGTAAGCAAATATACGAAAATGTCCAAAATACAACCAAGTTATTACATTTCAAGATATTTAAAGTTCGTAACGATATTTGAATATTTTTAAAATTATAAAGATCAAATATATTATTTCTCAAAAAAATAATCTATTAAGAGAAAAAGTCATATGTTATTTTTTCACATTTGCTAAATTTATATATTGTCTGTTAAGTATTTTACATTTTATTTTTAGGTAAAGAAGGATTACACTCAATTCTTCGCGAAGAATGCGCTCAACCACAACTACCCCGGCTACCGTGTACCCCCCGGAACGCAACACTACGAAGATCAATCGGGCCGGTCTTCCTACTAATAAGAAAATACCATTTAGTATTATGAAATAGTCAACTTCGAATCTTAAGGATCATCCACGGAATTACTAAGATACGAAATTAATATTTACTTTGATCACTCTAACAGTATCTTGTATCTACATTATAAGTATTTCAGCGACTTCACTGGTAGGGTAATGTGTCTACATATCAATTTCCTTATATTTGGGGCAACAAATCAGTGAAGTTGAAGAAATATTGAGCATTTCATTCTTCTATCATCTAATAACACCGCGAAGTCTTAGAGGCAATGACTTCAGAGTAAGTACTTGTATAGACTTTAGGCATTAAAGTCTTGTGGCATGTACGGGATTACAACCAGTACTTAATTTTAGTATTTAATTTATTTTTAACCATCAATTAGTGTTTAAGTATAAAAAATATAAAAATTACATAAAAAATATTATAGCACTGTCATATGAGCCATCAATAAATCATTACCTATTTATTATATTGAACGTCTAAACTAACTTAATTTCGATACAAATGTGCGGCTTTATACATTGCGAAATATATGCGAAACAAGTATAATATACGCTTCTAATACAAATTGTAAATAATGCTCATTTGCTCTGATTATTATAATCATTATTATCTTCTTGTTTATAATATCATTTAAGCGAATTGCTTCTATATAATCAGATGTAATATTAACCCCGCGTTCGAAGATTGGTCACATAAATTGGCTGACGCTTACCTACCTAGTCATGAAAAATTTGTTTTAATATTTATTTTGTATATAAAAATTACAAAATTGCATTGTTTATTTGGTATTGTGATTATATTTTAATGGAATAAATTGTACCAAATATATATTACGTTGAATTATTTATTAATTAGTTATAAATAAAATGAAAATCCTCTAAGGAAAAATAAAACTGGATTTTAGGAAAAACTTGATGTTGCCGTTAGAAAAATAATGTCTTCTTATTGAAATAATTGAAATTTTACTTTTGGAACATGGTAACACAAATAAAACAGAAAGAAGAACAGGACAGTATGTTACACAAGGGACTGATCGATTTTTGACGACTGTTGACGACAATAATGCTAAATTTACCATAATTTATTTAAAAAAAGAAACGAATTTAAAAAAGTACATGAAAAAATTAACTTAAATAAAAACTTAAAAGAAAGAAACAAGCCCAGTAGTTTAGAATTCTGTTAAGTAATACAGAACAGAACGACTCACAGTCGGGGCCCCTTGGGAAGATTTGATTGGTAAAATTTGAATAATTTAATAAAATTTTTACGCAGTCGGGTTTTTTGTTTTTCTTTAAATTATTAATTTTTATTTTAAACTTTTTAGTTACCATTCGTTGACTTATAAGATGGCAAATATCGTAATCTAATCATTTCATTGAGGGAGTTAATATCGTGGGGATTATTAAGTAACTTGCGGTGGTCTAAACTACTGATGATTAGTCCATCTAGAGGCTAACTCGGCTCAAAGCTACAAATGCTTTATTTTTTTACCAAAAATATTGGTTCTTCATGCTTTTTCACTGTTTCTTTTTTTTTGTTTGCATATCTTTTATACTTTAAATAAAAACAAATCAATAAGTAACAAAATTACCGATAATGTTTTGTTAAACAACTTTAAATCGTTATATATCCTAAACTATTATTTATAATGAAAAATGATAAAAAGAACCTAAAGATAATTTTGAAATACCTATTCAACGACTCCCCACTTGACATAGTTCATCGATTTTTATTTTATTCATTTTGACAATATGGCGTCTGGTGGTCCCTGTGGTGAATTTTGATTACTGTCATGTTTTAGTGACACTCGCAAGGTTAAGACGAATCGATTGATGAAAGAATCATCAAAATCGGCCTACCCGTTTGGTCTCTAGAACGCCACATAGAAACAAACATACATACATACATACATAGACTGATAAACACATTACCCTCCTTTGCGTCGCGCAGTCGGATAATAATATCCTATGGTCAAAAATTTTGTGTGATCGGGATTGGTCTTCATAACTATCAGGTTAACTCGTACTGTCGAGACAGACAAAACTAAGCAATAAAACCATACGTTAATACGAAAATATTATATTATCATACATTACATACAATGTGTACAAACAACATCGGAACAGCTCTAATGAGTGCAGTCAAAAATGCCTCAAAACAATGATCTAGTAAGCTAAACCCTTCTATGTACAATTTGTAATGGAACCAAATAGATTTTTTAAAAACATAATATTGTCTGACGCTTAAATCGCATACCATTAATATCACAGTGGTAACCAAGTTACTTACAAACATATTATGGCTACGCCTATTTTATGGAACTTAATATACATTCCTACCCATATTATTTTATAATGAATACCTTCAACATTTCAAATGTTTGTGATTATTTAAGCTAGAAATTGAAGAGCAACATCAAGAATTGATCATTATTCGGCATACAACAATCAGTACATGTGTACCGAATAATAATTGGGCGTCGTCTACTTCGAAATTGCTTCAACTTACACAAAGTCTCGCAATAAAAACAAAAATACATACATAACAATTAATCCTAAAAAAGGGTCTTTGAACTGTTTTGATATTAAATTTGTTATTTCCAAATGAATTTAAACAGAATAAAGCAATTCACAATAGTTTGAATAAAAGTCTAGCCCTGGAACTTTAAGATAAAAATAATTTTTCTTTAAAAAATTTAATCAAACGAAGTAGACAAAGACTATTAATAAATATAAGAATGGTAACAGATTAAATTGACATAAGTATTTTACTATTAGTTATTTGTTTAATGACGATAGAATGCCCGATTTCCCAATCTCCAAAAAAACTTGTACTTTATAAATAGAACTCACTGTACTGTACGTCAAATATCATTTTTATTTAGCTATATAGACAAATAAATATAAACATATATATATATATATGTTTATATTTATTTGTCTATATAGCTAAATAAAAATGTATATTAAAATGTATGTATGTATATTATGTATATAATAAAAATGCTAAATATATATATATATATATATATATATATATATATATATATATATATATATACAAATCTGAGGCTGAAAACTCTATGTTGAACGTGACAAACAGTTTTAGGCCATACTCAAAACAATATTTTTTTGTATTTGTATGATACCAAATATTACGTCCCTATAACTGGTAAGTTTCTGTAATACAATCAAATATTCTAGTTACGGTTAGTAACACATCAAACAAAAAAAAATATCAAGCAGTAATTGAAACTCATAAAATAAATGCACATTTCAGATTGAAACAAAGATCACTAAACAACAATTAAATATTAAAAATGCGTGACATAATTTCATATAAATAATATACAAGGCACCAACGGATATTTAATAATTGGAATCATTACAAAATCACGCAATATAAATTAAAATATAGAAAATCTAATGTGTCTCTAAAATATTTATAATAAATAAACCCTGATGACCTGTGAACATAAAAGCAACAAAAATCTAGTATCAGTATTCAAAATGTTTATATAAAGGAATTTGTCAAAAATCTCTTTTCCTTTGAGAAGTTCATAATCGAACTTAATACGAATATTAATGATATGAATCACGCGGTAAAAATCGAGATCGCAGAAGATTCCAGATTTTATTTCATAGAGCCGTTACTTCTGATTTCCATAACAGAAACGCTTTCTTTACTTGGGATCAAAACTATATATGAGATGTTTAAGAATATTTAATTTGTGTGGAAAAAAATTGCTTAAAGACAAAAAAATATAGGTGAACTAATGAAAAGTGGTACAACACTAATGTTCATCAAATGATTTCAACAGAAGGAATGAGATATGCCAAAGAACTAAATATTTTATTTTATGAAGTCAACAATAATTATGTTTATTAACTGAAATTATCGAAGGGTAACTTACATGATTCATTTTCTTGATACTTCAACACCTCAATATCTTTTAAATGTCCCGGAAAAATTATTAAATACAAAACTAAAGTAAATTTTGTTCGTCAAAAAATAACTATTATCAAGTCTCAAACAAAGACAAATAGTATTACGCGAATGACTTTTACGGACATAGTCATCTATTACAAAAATATTTTTTTTTCCCGAAAACAGAACATGCCATACAAATTTATCGTAAAAATAAAAATGATCAAATCAATTATAATTATATAAAATCTTCATCAGCATTATGCAATAATCGTGTCACTATAATAAGATAATAGAAATAAAAGCTAATCAATAGGAAGTCCTAAATGACATAATTTTTACTGTTAATAATAGATACGCCGAATTTAAAATCGGTTGTCGTGTTCAGGTTGTCACAAAATATGTATTATCGATACTATTGACAGTGTCACTAAAAGTTATCGATGATATTATTAGTATCGAATGTTTCAACAGTACATTATTTAAAGTAAAGTAATATCGATTTTGAGTAAATATTATTTTCAAAATCCAAGCTACTTATCCCGTCAATGGTTTTAATATTGACGATATTTTTGTTAAACTTCAATACATTCAATAGTAATAATGACAGAATTCAAGGACAGCTATCGATAGAGAAAATATCGATAAATCAACGACTCGGACTCCCTAATGCTTGCAGCTAGTAAATCTCACTAAAAGGCTTCTTAGCAGTCTCTCACCAGTTGCATTTAAATCTATAAAATTATATTATATTATTATGTCACGCAATAGATTTGAGACAGTCAAAAGTTTTAACAAAAAACTCCATCGAGCTGATTACTAATTATACCTAGGAAATGAGGCGAAGATCACACTAATGAAAACCCTTGTGTTTGTTGTATGGCTTGCAGCAGATAGTATTTGAGACGTTCTTTGGTCTTGTATCTAGGAAGGTCTAGAAGATTGAAACACGTATGAGCCACGGGGAAATATCGGTCATCGGCGACGGGTTGAATCCTTATCTGTAAAACAGTGAATACCGTCATTAGACTAACAGAAAAACACAATATAGCAGTGTTACAATATATATGATGAGTTGCAGTAGTTTCACAGTTCTTTTGCATTGAAGGTTTACAACAATGGATGATTTTAAATGAAACAGATTGAAAAAGCATTAAAATTTAAATGAATAATAATATTCATCTAAAAAAAGATAATATACAGAATGCATTTTTATGACGGGGTAGTTAGAGCAGGTACATCAATTCTTAAATTAAACGTTCCAGGGAGACTACCCATAACTTTGAAGATTTCTGTAATTTTGGATAAAAAATACAATCAGCAAGAAAACGCTACATTAAAAAAAATACCTTACTATCCTATTTCATGTGGGAATCAAGACTGGAACTACTGAATGTATAAGTACTAAAAATAACACGAAGCAACAAAAACTTTCATAAAGTCACGTCAAATTATCACGTATTTTGGTGTCACGCTACATATTCTATTCATGAAGACCAAGAGACAGATATGAAAAATAATAATTAAGAAAACAGTAACTAAATAGATACCTTGATATCCTTCATTCCTTGTATAGGCACTCGATCACTACCAGTGAGGAATAGCAGGAACTTTTTCTTATCTTCCAACGTCAGTTCATGAAAAACTTCCCAAAACCATCTGCAGAAATATACATCATAAAAAAAACTAGTTATTAGAATAAATATTTGTCATTTCTTTGTCAACTACTGCGTCGACATTTTTCTTTGGTATTTTCGAAAATAAACTCATATGTACAATAATGTCAATATCTTCTAATAATAATAGTTTACCTGATTTCTTGATCATTGGCAGAGTAGCCGTCTTTATATTCGCAATTATTTTCAAACAATTCCCAATCATACTCCTCATTGCCAATAACTACAGACATCAGTTCGTGGGATCTAAATAATTTTATTATTCTACCACCGCACACCTGTAGCAAAATAAATTAAGATTTAGTAACTTTTATAGTACATCAGTTATGATGATGCTAAATAAATAGGTACTTATTTTGTTTAAAATTCACAAAATTAATTTTCATTGTCCATTGAGTCCTTTTACGTTTCCACTGCAGAGGTCAGGCCTTCCTTATAGATTGCGCGGTGTATGGCCTTCGGGCCGATCCCACGCCTCGCCCACCATGAGAGGGACATCGCTGAGTTTTAGTGGGTAAACTCCTGTATTTTGTCTAGCCCCCACTCTGGGGGCTGGACCACAGGAGGAGTCCCACAGACCCCGTGAACCCCAGCGCATGGGGGGAGCGGACATGCGGAATGCATTTCTCAGTGTGAAAAAAAAAAAGGCCTTCCTTATAGATGGTTGGGCCATGATCTTCCACGATGGCCCAATACAGATTAAAGGATATTAACGACCACAATGCAGCTGGGACCAACGGTTTAACGTGCCTTCCAAAGCACGGAGTAACTCAAGATAATATTTTTTTGGTCACGCATTCCGTGATCAACCCTTGAGAAAGTTGCTTAACAAACCACGATCACAGGCTGAAGCGCTTTTGCACTACGCCACCGAGTTACTACTACTTATAACTTAACTTAATTTTAAAATAGACATTTGGGCCAATTACGGTCGCCATTATTCAATTGACTGTGGGGTGGTAAGTGAGCTATATATTATGGTCCAAAAAAGCGCTTAAACAGTATATATTCCGAATATATCATATGATCTTTAGATTTTTCTTACAAAGTAAACTATATTCACATCACATTATACAAATATGTCAAATTACTTTACTCAATTTTAATACATTGGTTTTAGAGTTGAAAATCGATTGCGATAACTCATATTGTGGTAACCTGACATTATGTCGTGTGTGCTTTTGCAGTTATTTTATTATTTTTGTTCTAAAATTGGCTCTGATAAAAGCAAGAGTTACCTTCTGAAAGCCTTTGTTAAAAGCTTTGAATTGATTTTCTACAGACTTGTTGAGCAAGAAATCGACGTACAAGTCGACGTATTCTTCCTTATTCTCGTGAGTGACGGGCACATTAACACCGTCTTCCTTTAGGTGATGGACTTGGATCTGATCGAACACCTCTGTGTTCACAGCGAAGCATAAACTAAAAACCTGTGGATTCGTTTCTTATTTTAATATACGAAACAATATAAAATTCGATAAAATCCAATTTATTTTTTCAGTTAACAATCTTTGTAATTGTACTTATCTTACACCGCTGGTAAATTTCGAGCATAATTGTATTTACATAAAAATGAATATATGACTAGTTTCAATATACTACTAGTATACCTATTGACAATAGAATATTGATACTTGGTAGGTTTATATTTATTTATGTAAATACAGATCTTTATTACATATTCTATCATATCCTAGCGTTGGCAGCTTTATCGCTTTGAAATTAAACGTGTTATTTAAGCCAAAGATTAAAATCAGCAGCTATATATTATTTTACATTACAAAAGTACTGTGATACTGTGATTTGGGTGGACAAAGAGTTGTAAAGTTGTTTTTAATCGTTTAAATGAAATAAAGTTTTGTCCGAATTTGTTTAGCCTATTTTTAGTTGCAATTTTACTGTAAAACAAAAAATTAAAGCGCCTTTGACGATATCATTAAATAATAGTAAACATATACAATTGTTCCTGTATCGTTAGTCATAAATGCAATATGGTTTTTAGATCGAAATGATACCTAATAATGCCCATATATTTAGAGTAGGTAATTAAGCTCCGTTGGAACTTATCATTACGACTGAGATTTTATTTTAATATTAATAAGAATGCAGCTGAATACAACACGATTAAAATACCTGAGTGATAAAAGCAAACATAAACAATATTTTTAGTCATTGTAATTAGAAAATACTCGTACAAATAATGATAATAACAAAAGTAATCAATCAAAATGTTATTTTACTTTAAAATATATGTAATTTACAAATATATTTCAACACAGTATATTTATTGTTTTATCAATTAAATTAAGAAAAATAGTTTAATTTAGTTTTTTTTTTATATTAATCATGTTTTATACATGATTAATAAACAGTGGTTCATATTAATTCAATGGAAAGAAATACAAGTACATATATGGTATAACAGATGACAAAGCTCGCAATGATTTTACTTTTACGTTACCCCCACCTAGTACTTCGCACCCATCGAATACTATTAATGAATAAGACAGTAGTAATCATGACCTAAAAAGAATAAACATGTAATTAAAAAGTCACCTCTTCTACATCATCGTCTGGATATTCCAATAAACTTTTTAAACTGTTCGCGAGTGTGGGGTAGAGGTCTGATAAGTCGTCAAGCATCACCGATTCACCCAGAATCTTCTTATATAACACCAGTGGGAACGGAACGTAGATTATAATAGAGTTGTATATCGCCAGGCCATATATAGCACCTACACAAATAATTTTAGAATTTATAACAATGTTCTTAATCAAAAGTATAATTTATAAGAACCGGCCGAGTGGGAGTCGGATTTGCAAACGAAAAGTTTCGTAACGGAATCGAGCAAAAACATTAGATTTGTTGTATGGGAGACACCCTATTAAATATTTGTTTAATTTTAATCCAATTACTTATTTTCAAAATTTCTATATAAATATATTTTCTGTAAATATTTCAATATAAAATGCTTAAAAAATCAACGTGGCACCTTGAGATGCGAAATTGATCAAATATTAGAACAGATTCTCATCTTTATCGAAAGTTTCAATATTTGTAATAATATTTCTTTCGGCTGTTTGGGTGGATGCCTGAACACTGATGAGAATACGCTCTGTAGCGAGAAGTAACAAGTGCTTGAAAGATTCGTCAATCCTGTTATGTCCTGGGTAGCTCAGCGGTTAGAGCAGTCGCCCGGATTGCGAAAGGGCGTGGGTTCGAATCCCATCTCAGGGTCCAAGTGGATTTTTTTAAGCATTTTGTATTAAAAATATTTTTCAGTATAGCATTGTGAATACGAAATTGATCAAATATAATAATGTCTACCTATTCTCGTTATCAATATCGAGCGAAAACAAGCAAAAAATCACGTTTGCTGTATGGTAACCCCCTTAAATATTATTCGGGTTCGCTTATGTTCATTTTATTCGGGTTCGCTTATGTTCATTTTATTCGGGTTCACTGTTGAAACGACAACGGAAATACATCATAAAAATTTCAATTGTCCTAATTTCACGGTCCATGAGATACAGCCTAGTGACAGATAGACAGACAGGCAGCGAAGTCTTTAAGTAATAGGGCTCCCGTTTTACCTTTTGGATACGGAACCCTAACAAAAGGTCAATATAAGCACAAGTATGGAATTGAAATCAAATTATTAACGAGAAAAAAAGAACTACTCACCGATCAAATAATACATTATATCGTCCTCAAATGGATTGTTGGAGAACCATATCATATTGGTCTCCTCAGACTGTTTGAACATGCCGTACACTGGATCGAAGATCTCCTTTAGAAGCAACATGAAGAATTCTTTTCGGACACCGCCGGCATCCTCTGCTTCTTCGCCAACGAATTCCACCTGAAAACCGGCATTTAAAACTATAAAGGAGTTTCTCAATACATATTGAAAAGAATTGAAACCATTACATATGCACACAGCGGCACATCATACTAATACAAAAGGCAAACATCTGGGATCAATTTTATACTTAATCTGTAAGAAATGAAAGCTTAAAATAGATTAGGTACGTGAAGCCAAGCTACTGTTGATTGTACAACACAAATCAAAAGATTATAAGATTATTTATTGAATTGATTGAATAATCAAAATTGAGTTCTCAAGTTAAAACATCATTTGAATTTAAGTTTCAGAATGTATACTAATATTAAAAAGAGGAAAGATTTAATTGCATTGAATAGTCTCCGAAACTACTGAACTCATTTTAAAAATTCTTTCACATACTGGAAGCTACACCATAGAGCGATGATGGCTATAATTTACGCAGGCGAAGTCAAGAGAATACAGCTAGTATAAAATAAAATACACAACAAAGAACTTACTCGAAGTGGTTTTTTTAAATGTGACGTATCATGGTTACTGATCTGCAACATTGTATCCCTAACTATGTGGTTCCTAGAGACAGTCAGATTCAAGAATTGATTTCCCTGATGAAAGCCGTATGTCGGATCCGTAAACAAACGGGTGAATATCTCCGTAGTTGCGCGACTTATAGCCACTTGCATTTGCAATTGTTGATCTATTTTGAGCAATAATGATTTGCATTGCACATCGAATAGGAATGGGTAATTGCACATGTGGGGTTGGGTTGACTGAAATAAATTGTAAAATTAAATAAATTGTAAATAAGTCATAAAAATAACAATGTCTTAAAGTATGAATAAAAAATGTATTAAATAACAATCTAAAACTAGCAATACTTAAATAATTAAATGAATTATGTTTTACATAATTATGTTTATATATTGTATATACAGTTTACACAATTTCGGGTATACAAAGCAGCACATCAAGTTACTAAAAAATCCAAATGTACACAACCGATTTTGAATTTAACTATTATCAGAATAAAGTTTATATTGATTTGAGAAATTTACAGCTAGTTGCACAAAAGTCCATTAAAGTTGACAAAATCAAAGCGATATTACCCATACACGTTAGAGCTTCAAGGCGTCATTAAACCCTAATGGACATTTGTGGAACTGACCATTAGTCTTTTATAGTAACTCCAGGTGGGTCAGTCCATAAGGTTGCACGTCAGGTTACCACAATATGTCAAATTTCCTTTTGAACTCTACCCACGTTGCATTAAGGTTTAAAATAAAGTGGGGAAATTTGACAGTTATGTATAACCTGACGTGCTGTTTTGCCTTGTTACGACTCTCGATAGTTTAATAAGGGCTAATAATTATTCAATATTACTCACACTATGATCCGAGAGCCAGTTTATGTAGTCAGTTGCTATATCGACGTGTGTACACAGATCCTCTATGTAGAAACATTCCGCAGAAATTTTAGGTTTCTTAGGATTCGTGAAGTTTATTTTATTTAGTGATGAAAGGGTATTCAATATTTGAACTATGCTATGTGTAAAATATATTTTCTGAAACAATTACATTATATTATTTATGAATCGTTAATTTAATTGTAAAAGAAAAGAAGCCTATATATCATAAATAGGTACCTTATTAGCATTGACAGCAGGCTGTCTCAATTCATAGACGACCACGCTCTTAAATATGTCAACCAACATCTCGAAATAATCAGGAGATTGGGCCTCCCACCATAGGTTCACTATTCGCTGCGGATGCGTGGATAAGTTGTTGTAAGCCTCTGCGAAAGGACCCTGTTAAAAACAGAATTTTTGGTTTATTTGTTATAAAATTACTTAATCTGATAAATGATACCAAATTTGACATCGGCAGACCTATTTTGGCGCAAAATAAAAAACACATTTTTAATAAGATATATGGATATCAAAACGTTGCATGTGGAACCTCGTTAATGACTCTGGATTATGGATGCTAAACTAATAATCCAATATCCGTTTAATATGACGTGTCGTGAAACTTTATTTATGCACAAACCAGACCTGACTGTTTCGATAATAATTGATTTATAATGTCTTGTTTTATTAACTATAAGGTGTAAAATACAACTCATTAGGTTTCAGTCTCGATCACATTCGGTGAAAGTAGGACGCGTGGACCGCACAACGTTACTTGGATCAGTCTGATTGGTCAGGATTTTTTGCACGTCAATATAAATGTTGCCTTCTGCGCAGGTACATCGGCAAGCTATATTAGTTGTGTTTAACCCGATCTATGTACCATTTCAATACACAATCAAGGCCGGCCCCTCCATACAGGCAAACTAAGCACCTGCCTAGGGCGTTCGTATTTGCGAGCGGCATAGCATCGCAATTGCTGCAAATAGTTACTCTAATTTATTTGAAACATTTGTTTGAGCACGAGTCCATGTCTGCGGTATTCAAAAGTACGAAATTTCTAAACCATAGTCCTTCTTTTTCCATTGGCAAGATTACACTCTTTAATCGGAGTACATAAGTATTTTATTTTGTTGTGATTTTTGGGCGTCTTTCCAATGTTTTGCTTAGGGCGTCAAGTTCCATTGAGCCGGCGCTGTACACAATACAATACCTGCAACTCAGGATGCCGTCGCGGATTCCTCATCTCATGATACAAAGGTAATACGAGAAACATTCTTAGTGCCTCAGCATCCGGTGGAGAAACTTTCATTTTCTTTATTATATTCTCCGTTAGGTGGCTGAATATCTGATAAACAAATAATTAATTTATTCGAGAAACAGTAAAGCTTAACAAATAGCATACTAGATGTAGCTATATGTTTTGAGAAATTTACTTCTCTTTTTACTTTGGTTTGCATTGCACTTTATCATTTTATTTGCCAATTTATTGAATTTTGTAGGTTGCAACAAAGATTTCTATGTATATTATTCTGAACTAGAATTGTGACAACCATAACCGTTGCTCGCGCACTAAGAATGAGTAAACGAGACGGCAATACAGTCGACTAAACGACGAGTTGTGTTGACACAATACCTTAGCGAATAATTGTCCAGTACCGAACAGCTTGTCTAGTAGTATACATAGAAGTCTTTGGTTGTGGTGCAGTATTTTGAGATATATCATGTATTAGCTAAAAGAATATTTTCACTATCTTTATAGCGTTTACCATGTGTTTCCGGTCAGTTGAGAATGTATTCGGTTTTAAATAAATTAAATTGCATCTACATAATTAATCTCACCAATTCCTTTATAGAAGTGTTCTCGTATCGACTGACTATCAAAAACGCTTGTTCAGCCTTTTTGAGGTCTACGCCCGGCGTCTTAGTGTTGCAGCCAAAGTGCCCGTTATTGTCTAACAGGAATGAACCGTTCACGCACGCTATAGATCCGAACACCGTCTCTAAATATGCCATTAGATCCTGTGAACAAAGTTTTGCTTGTGATAACACAAAATACTCATTAAAAATATATATATCGTATTATAGCGTCGATATGTATTTGTATGTGTTCCTTGTTTACTACGAAGCCCTAAAAATATCATATGGAATTTAAGTGTATTACTTAAAACGAGAAAAACACCAAGTCCCAATCGAATTCCTAATCATCACAAGTATTTTTTTATTGTTAATATTAGATACCTTTCCGGAAGTAGGCTTAATATCAATCTTCTTAATAAAATAATAATGATAAGTTTGAAATAACTTTATTTTATTAATCAACTTTATTTAACATTTTTAAAGAATTACACTACATTATTCCAAATCACGAATACCAGTAGTGCCATAAACAAAGGATTAGTATGATACCATAGACATTTATATATTAACACACAGAACATCCTCTCCGTTTTAACAAGTACTTATTTGGTTCTTACCCTTTACAATATAAGTACTAAAACTAAAATAAACTGAAGTTTACACCATACTTTCTTAAAACTTACATATATATATATTTTTTTATATTATGAAACTTAAATTTATTAACAAGTTTTAAACTATTATTTTGCTTTTACATGTATGTATTATAAGACATAATCTCTGTACTTTATTGGGATAGCCCTACATCGAACAGGTCTTATATTATTTGAGGTAGACTCACTTATAGGGGAAGTTCTTATATTACTTGAGACAGACTCACTTATAGGGGAAGTAAGATTTGAGTTTAAATTGTCATTAGCAAATACTTCGCAGCCATAGTCCATACTATCTGTGTCATGTATACTATTTGGTTTATATTTCTGATTAGTATTACAGTTAGATACATTTTCATCTTTTTTCTTTTCATTGCATGTTTTTTCAATATTTCCTCTATATGGTTTTATATGGATTAAGTCTCTTCTGTATAGTACACCATCTACATTAACTTTATATGATCTTTCACTTACTTTTTCAACCACATATCCTAATTTCCATGTATTATTGTTTTCTGGATTTATTTGAACGGCTACATTTTGACCCATTTCCAAGGAATATGGTTTTCTACATCTTTTGTCATAAAAATATTTTGATTTTTCTTTTCTTATCATTAGTTTTTCTGGAATGTTGTTAATTCTTACAGGAACCATTTGTTCTGATGTACTAGGCAATAAGGTCCTTGTTCTTCTAGATAAGAACTTTTGTGCTGGGCTACAATGATCTTCATTATTGGGAACATTTCTCTGGTGTAACAGTGAGATCCAAAAGTCCTCACCTGTTTCAGAACATTTGAGAATGAGCTTCTTTGCCGACTTTACCGTTGCTTCAGCAGTTCCATTTGATTGTGGGTAATGTGGTGACGATGTTACATGAACAAAATCCCAATCTTCAGCAAACTTGGTAAATTCCTTGTTTACAAAATTAGTAGCCCCATCAGTACATAATTTTTGTGGTATTCCATGTCTTGCAAAATTCTTTTTACATATATTTATAACCTCTCTAGATGAAAGATCTCTTAATTTATCAATTTCATAAAAATTTGAGTAATGGTCTACTGTTATCAGAAAGTTCAGAGATTGTGTATTTATTTTTACATTAAAAACATCCATAGATACATACTGAAAAGGATATGATGGTATATCATGTGATAACATGGGAAACCTTATTTGAGATGGTGAGTATTTTATACAAATTCTACATCTTTCAACAAAATTTTTTATGTCTTCGGACATGCCAGGCCAGAAGATATTTTGTTTTGCTAATTTAATGGTACTAGTAATGCCATTATGACTTAAATGAACCTTTGACAACATGTCTTTTCTCAAGCATTTAGGAATAAGAACTTGATCATTTCTAAAAATTATGTTATTTTGAACTGACAGGTCAGATGCAAACTTATAAAACCATCTGAGATTCTCAGGCATATCAGAGACATAATTGGGGAATCCATTTATAATATAGTTTACAAGCTGTTGACATTCTGAATCAGCTTCTGTTTTTTCTTTAATATTTTTCATTATATTACTTGATATTTTTAGGTATTTCAAAGAAGAATGTTTGGCTATAATGTTAAAAATCTGTTTATTATAAAAACTGTCAAAACCATTACAGTTTATTTCATTCATTTCAGTTGGAGCTCTAGAAAGAGCATCAGCAACAAAATTATTTTTTCCACTTATATACTCTATTTTTAGATCATATCTTTGAAGAATCATTAACATAAGCTGAAGTCTCTTTGGAGCCTCAATTAGAGGTTTTTTAAAAATATTCACCAATGGCTTATGATCAGTTTTTATAATAGTGTTAGTATTTGCAGTTACATACTGACTAAATCTAGAACAAGCAAAGACCACAGCTAGCATTTCTTTTTCAATTTGGGCATACCTTTTTTCTGTCTTAGTTAAGGTCCTAGAAGCAAATGCTACAACCTCCTTGTCCTGATAGAGTGCTGCTCCTAAGCCTATACTGCTTGCATCACATTCTATTATTAATGGCTTATTCATATCATAATATCTAAGGGTTGGCAAACTACTAAGTGTTAAAATAATTTGTTCAAATTCAGCCTGTTCTTTTTCTGTCCATTGCCACTTAGCATTTTTTTTGGTTAACTCTCTTAACGAGCTTACTTTAAAACTTAAATTCTTAATAAATTTGCTCAAGTATGTTACCATCCCCAGAAGCCTTGAGACGTCTTTACAGCATTTAGGTATAGCTATATTCTTGATGGCTGTAACTTTTTCTTCATCCACTTTAAGACCAGTATCAGTCAATACATGGCCATAAAACTTCACAGATTTCTGTAATAAATTTAATTTATCTTTATTAAGTTTACAATTGTTTTCTCGTAGTCTCGGTAAAAGATTTTCCAAATTAATATTATGATTTCTGATTGCTTCTTCTGTAGTGTTGCCTGACCCATACACCAAAATATCATCTGCCATAACCTCAATACCCTTTAGACCATGCAAGACCGTTAATAATTTTTGTTGAAAAATTTCTGGCGCTGAAGAGATACCAAATGGAAGCCTAAGCCATCTATATCTACCAAAGGGCGTCCAGAATGTTGTGAGTTTACTGCTTTTGTCACTAAGTTTAACATGCCAAAAACCCTTTAATGCATCCACAGTACTAAAAACTTTAGCTTTTCCTAATTCTGGCAAGACTTCCTCTAAAGTTGTAAACTGAAAATGAGGTCTTTTCAATGCCTTATTCAATGGTATAGGGTCTAGGCATATTCGGAATTTTTTACCTTTACGAACCAACAGAATATTATTAACCCAATCTGTATGTGATTCTTCCTTAACAATAATTTTATTTTTTACTAACCTATCAAGTTCTTCTTTAAGAGGTTCTCGCAGTGCCATAGGAACTCGTCTTGCTGGTTGAATGCGGGGTGGGACGGATTCATCTATTTCCAATTCAACAACACCTGGAAGCTCACCATATCCTTGGAAAACATCATAGTATTTTGCAACTATATCCTGTGTGTCTTTGTAATCATCCATACCTATCATCACAGTGTTACAGTAGTTTATCAGCCCAAGAGATACACATGCAGATTCAGATAACAAAGGTTGATGACTAACATTTACAACATGAAACATTATCTGATATTTTTTATTCTTATACATACATTCAATATCAACCACTCCTAATGTCTCTATGTCTGTACCATTAAAACACTTTAGTTTTAAATCTGTAGGTTGCAGATGTTTCAGACAATCATCATTGAGCATCTTCTTATATTGTTCAACACCAATAACACACACCTGAGCTCCTGTATCTAATGTGCAGAAAGCATCGAGCCATCTATTGCCAATTTTTAACTTGAGTTCAACCTCTTTATGTCCAGAATGTTGATTTGTTTTAATTTTAGATATATATATACTGTTATCACTTATATTTGCTGTTTCTTCCTCTGTGTCATATTTGTTTTCTTGTATTTCTTTTATGACTTTCGTTTTCTTACATACCTTTTTAAAGTGATTTCTGCCATGACAACTTTCACACCTCTGTCCCCAAGCTGGACAAAGTTTCTTATTGAATATATGTTTTTCTCCACAAAACTTACAAGTTTTTATTTGTTTCTTGTCAATTTTTAGAATGTTTTTTTTCTTCTGTTGTAACTCTATTGATAGATTGCAACTGTATAGTTGTTGTTTCAGCAGATCTACATATATTAATAGTCCTTACTAGATCCAGTCCCTCGACTCTCAGGAGTTCCTTTTTTGTATCTGCATTTCTTATTCCTACTACAATTCTGTCTCTCAACATTTCATCTATTATAGTAGTGTTGTAGTTACACGATTTAATTAATTTTCTTAGTTCTCTTATATACGAATCAATGTCTTCACCTTCTTGTTGATTTCTTTTATTGAAAAGGTACCTATTGTAGATAACATTTTGGTTTTTCACAAGACATTTTTCTAATTTTAAAAATATCTTAGCCTCACTTTTCATATCTTTTTCTTCCAAACCAAAATGCATATACTTTTTCATAGCTGCATGTCCTATGGCATTTATTAAAAGTGTCGGTCTTTGATCTTCCTTTAACCCTGTAGCAACGACATAATTATACCACGTGGTTTTAAAAAACTCTAGGGCGTCCCCAGGATTTGTAGATTCCACGTCCAATGGCGCAGGCCACGGAACATGTATTCGGTTTCCATTTGACGATCCTTGCAGTTCTATTTGTTTTTGAATACTTTGGAGAATTTCACACTGTTTTTCCAGTACGTGCGCTAATTCTGAAGAAGCCATATTGTTTGATAATTTTCACTTTTGTTTAAGATAAAACTTATCTTCTATAAATTCTCTTTATTTAATGAGAATTCTGACACCATCTTCTTAATAAAATAATAATGATAAGTTTGAAATAACTTTATTTTATTAATCAACTTTATTTAACATTTTTAAAGAATTACACTACATTATTCCAAATCACGAATACCAGTAGTGCCATAAACAAAGGATTAGTATGATACCATAGACATTTATATATTAACACACAGAACAATCAATTTTTACATTTTTTCTCGATACGAATTCAATTCACACTCGTATTTTTTCCGCAAAGGAAATCGTCAATATTTTACTCACTTGATTGACTACATCGTCATCTTTGAATACTTGACAAGAAGTCAATTTCGCAATTTCCATGGTCAAAATTTGCTTAGTGTGCTCTGGCAGACGAAAATCCGTAGACGCTTTATCGCTATTTAGAATTAGAAAGCTGTGATCTCCACCTGCAAACACCTTTATTGGCCCGCTGAATACGTCTGTAGTGAACTGCAAAGAAATATCGAACGACTGTAAAATGCGTTAGTACATAAAGAAGGTTTTTGTAGGACAATGTACAAAAGACAAGTAACCGCTTTGAAGAACTCGTGTTATTTAAATATCACACATGTTATACTTATAAGTACCGTAATAAAATTAGAATTTATTATATTATTAAGTAGAATTTTATCAGTCTGGCTATTTTAATGCCAAAAAGAGACAGATCACCAACGTGAAGTATACTATAACGTGAAGTAAACTATTAAATTTTACACCAGAAATAATTTACAAAATAAATACAACACTGTAAACGAGTAATTAAACATCTCTTAAACCAACAAAATAGTTTCTGACAATCGATTACAAAAATTGTTTTGGACATTGACAATTCTTGTATATCCTATCCCAATAGGGTCAAATAATAATAAAATTGCAATAAATAACGTCTAGCTAAGACATAATAATAAGCGTATATATAAAGCATGTATTCTCCATTATATACTCCTATGCGGTTCGATTATATATTACATATCACAGTAATATTAAAATTCAATAGATTAAAACTCAACATTTCGATTAGAAGCCCCAGCACTGTTGGATCGAAATGCGACGGAGCTCTCGAACTTCGGCTTCTTCTTGGGCTAAAGGAAACTTTAAATCATTAGACAGATACAGTGTTCCGGTAAAACCCAACAAATATGTCATGTCGCGAATGTCCCAGGCGTACTAAGGTTTACCAATTCCAATGATCACCAAATGTATGAATAAAGTTAAACTTTAGTTTCCGTCTTATTCACACTCAAAGGAAGTCAGACGCGCGGTTAGTGACCCAGGATTTGCCGCGCTTAGAAATTTATCTCTCTGCATAGATACAGCTTACATCGGTAAGCTATATTAGCTGTGTTTTACTGTTCACTTGCATTTCTGTATTGTCTACCAGCTCTGAAATACTGCACAACACATGTTAAGTTTAAAAAGCTTTGGTGGCAATTCTGTTGTACCACTGTCTAAATTCAAATATTTTAATCATAATTTGAATTTATTTAATAGTCAATTAGTCGTATGTATTATAGTTACGCTTTTGTGTACTAAAATAAAGTTTACTTCCATTATCTTAGTTAGTATCACAATTGAAAATACAGTATAACAGGACTAAATCTAAATTTAGTCAAGTTTGTGTAACAAAATTGCTACCATTATCAAATTTAATTCCAAGTTTTAGTAAAAAGTTACATTACTAAACTCTCCAAGTATGTCGTCATAATCCACAATATTTATAAATAAATCTAATGTATGCATGCATACGCTAAATCTACGATATATAATAAAATAAAATCTACAAGCGACCGCCGAGAGAATACGTTCATGACATCTGTCATACACTCATGACTAAAGTCCGGACGCCGAATAGAGAGAATTTCGTACAATGACCCGGCATTACATATCTTTCACTCATGCGAAAACATGTTACTGTTACGCTCGCATAGATACATCTGAATCTGATAAATTTTGTCATAGTAAAGTAAACCTTAATTTTTTACCATATCTAGCAGTAGCCACAAAGATCAACGTACGAAATTCTTTGTTCGGCGATTGGACTATAGTGACGGGTAAAACCAACTAGTACTTATCGATTTAGAACAAGCTCTAAAACTAATTGTGGTTTGCCTAGTAAGAAAATTAAAATTCAAATGTGATTTTTAAAATACCTATATATTTTTATTAACTTGTTATTTCATATACCTGTTATGCTAAATATTGCGAAATATATTGTTATAATTACTTAACTTATAGTTTTCATCACTACAAAAGTAAATAACTGACATAACCATGTAACGTATTATTTATTTATCTTTTATTATTTAAAACGTAATCTTGAACAAATTTTCATTTTTGGATGATATAACAATGTAGTTTTTAAATGTTAATTATATTTTTAATAGGGCAAAAATATCTCAAAATATGTCAATTCAAGTCAAGTCGACCTTTCTGAAAAACGAAACGTTCTCTCGACGACCGCACTGTACAGTTTTATACGTTGATTCAAACGTTGTTTTATAAAATAGGCAGCGTGCACGGAAATATTATTAAAAAAAATAGTTTTGATATTCTTTTCGATTAAAGTTATTTAAGAAAATAGACCTTCCCCCCTGATCTCCGAAACTACCGAGCTTTAGGCTCGGAATTAAGTTTTTTATTATGGATTACAGGAAAGACACTACTAGAAATAAATTAGTTTTATGTTCCAGGGTCAAAAAAGTCAAAAAGGTTTTTTAAAATTAAATACAATTTCAAAGTTTCAAGTCGACCTGAAACACATTCTCTCAACAGCCGTAATTTGGAACGTTGAACGCTAAACTATAATATATAAATAAGGTCAATTATCTAAAATTATGCAACATACGAAACTAATACGTTTACGGAGAAGTAGTCACCTTACTGTGGCCAGGATTTTCTGTCTGCATAGAAAGAATAGAGAAAAATTATTTTCATAGGTATCAACTATTGAATTGCCAAAACTAAATAAATAATTTAATCTTTTTTCTTTCCATCATTATATAAACAGGACAGAGAACTGGAATTTAGAAATATTATAAAATTTGTATTATCTTATTATTTATAAGAATAATGTATAAAAATCTATCTGCTCAAAATGATGCAGTTTTCAATCAAAGTTGGACGCTTCGTAATAATTTTCATTTTTAATACGATGCTAATATAGCAACATTTCATATTCGTTTTGTAAGTAAAAAAAAAAGTTGATTAAGCATTCGCGATTAATTTGTTAGTTACAAGCAGATCATTTATTAAAATACAACACAAAGTAATATATCTGTCATTCCTAGACTACTATCGAACCTTATTCCTAGTCTCAATCAATAATCAAAATATTGTAACGAAAACAATGACAAAAAAGTTTGTCAAAAATTCAACTTGTGAATTACAAAAGTAAAACTCATACGTTTTCATATAATTATCATTAGGACGTCCTCTGAAATCGTCTTTGAGTTTTGACATCGGTAGGGGACTGAGATCAAATCATCGATATTTAAAGCGCCAAGGTTCTATTGTAGCTTAGTAATCAAATGTCTTTTGCACACGAATTAGTTGATCACTATCTGTGTTAGTAAGGTGTTAGCAATCAATTCAACCTATGAAGGTATGTATATCTTAGAGAATCCATTGCAGGATATTTGCATACGTCTCTTTCTTGCTCTACGTTCATTACTCTTTTCATAAATACTCGCCAGTTTTTGTGACATCGCCTTCTAATAACGCGCGATCATTTTGATGGTGAAAGGTCTATCTTTGTTGCCCGCGGCTTCTCTATCCTTCCATTTTGCACTTCGTATATTTTTACATCCGACATTTTTTCCACATGTCCGAACTAACATAGCATGCCTCTATTATTTTTAGAACTACCATTTTAGACACTACCTGTCAAGTGAATTTTCTCCGGAGCTATTTTCTCTATTTACTCCGGCAGTTCTGTATAACGACCACACCTCCTTTATATTCATTTTACTAGCAAGTTTTCTCTGACATACCCAACCCTCTCTTCTATATATCAGAGTTGGAATCGGCGCATTGTGTACAAAAAGCTGCGCTTTCTCGCTCAAAGTAAACGAGATATAAAAACTTACAAATTGCACCGCTCCACACATCGAAAGCGCAAGCGCTAAGGTGGCCGGCAAGATCAAGATAGCTATTCAGCCAGTACAGAATCTCGAAAACATTTATAGTAATAAGTGCATGTGATAGTGAGATTACATATAAACCCGCAGCCACTATCCGTTACCTTATTCACACTATTGATGTGAATGAGGCCTTATTAACTTACGGGCGAGTCGTCGTTGGGAGTGAACGGTACCGGTGTAGGAACTAGCGAGAAGGTCATGTGCGGACAGCCGAGTTGCCCCCGAGCGCCGTAGCCGCAAGCCAAAATGCGATCGCCAACACGACATAGTAAATGACGACGGCCACTTGCCACCTGGGTAACTGTACTGCCCATTAACTCCATCACCTAAACAATAGGAGTGTAGGCAACGATTTTTATTATATTTAATCAATTTTGCATTCACAATGCTATATTGAAAAATAATCTCAATGAAAAATACTTAAAAAACCCACTTTGACCTTGGTACTCTGAGATGGGATTCGAACCCCACGACCTTTCGCATTCGTGCAACTGCTCTAAAGACTGAGCTACCCAGAACCTAACGGGACTGACGAATTTTTCGAGGTCTTTCTTTTGTTTCTTTCTATTACTCGTTACATTTTCGCTACTACAAAACGTATTTTGATCAATGTTTTTAGCAAAAGTTAAAAATATTTGGAAAAATATTCTTTTCGGCTGTTTGAGTGGATTAGAAACATAAAAGTAGTTTAGAAACTGTTTATAAATCTTAACAAATTACCTCGTGTGTTCATAGGTTTCGAGAGGAAATAGAAGTTTCGTAACTTCTTTAATAATTAACTTATATATCTAAAATTTTCAGTAACCATTAAATAGATAATAATCAACAATTAATAAATATTTTATTGAAAATGACAGCCCTTGTTTTTAATACTGGCCCTTAGATGATTAGGTCAGTAATCAATGGCGGTACGAATCTTTTCTAGCGGAATTCGCTTTGCTACTCGTACAAGGGTTCGCTTCAGTGACTCCAAGTTTAGGTGAGACTTTCGGCAGGCAATGAACTCTAATTCAGTTCATAAAGCATAATCCAGCGGGCTTGAGGTCGGGGCTGGAGAAGGGCCACTCGTCACTCAACCAAGCTTGGCTTTCACCTTGACCTTGTTGGCAGAAATGGAGCGGAGTGACACCTTTATACGAAACTCCCCATCATACCACCAAACTAGAGGGATAATGAGTGCGCGAGACATTCCGTGCAGGAGCTGGGACATTCTTGCTACTTTTTCAATACAGTTGCTCATAAATCGCTTTTTTTTAACACCGAAAGTGAGTCTTTAAACACGTGTTAAATAAAAATGTACTGAAATCCTTTACTGCACACGTGCTTAAAAGTATTTTTTTAATTTTTTTTGGCCGAGCACCAAAGAAATTAAAAAAAAATTGATGAAAATATGACAGACTTTAGAGGCAAAAGTATTTCAAGGAGCCTAGAACGAATATTTTCAAATAAAAATGTATGACACGAAAACATGCTCATATATCACGTTTAATTTTAACAACAAAAAAAATTCCTTTAATACATACTTAGTTTTATTAACCTATATATTTGTTTTATTTCCTCGCAAAAAGCATTGAAAAATGTTGTAAGAAACTTGAGCGTAAAAGGTTTTTCGAGTATAACACGAAAACATGTTCAAATATCACGTTTAATTTTAACAAATAATTTTTACTTTAATACATAACTACTTAGTTTTATTAACCTATATATTTGTTTTATTTCCTCGCAAAAAGCTTTGAAAAATGTTGTAAGAAACTTGAGCGTAATAGTATATTTCATTACAAATACGGAAAGGCTGTTATTGCAACGAGTTCCGATAAATGTCTACCGAGCCTAGGCGCAGCCGAAGGCGAAGGTTGACAGTCGGAACGAGTTGCAATGACGGTTCCGCACGTGTACTGAATGACTATTTAATGCAGTTGCGAAAAAATGAAGCAATTTAATAAAATAATAAAAACAAAATAAACTCAACTAACTAATCATTTATTTTTTATAAAAGTCATAATTCACATATACAGCGTGTTTGGTAATACCTGTATAATCCCGAAACATGGCCATACAACCTAGCACAAAGAACACAATTGATAGGTCAAAAAACAATTTCATGTAAATTGATATTTTCATACAAATATTTGAACAATTTGTTTTCAATTACTATGCTACAACCCTGTAAGCTTACACGTGCCGTCCCGGCGCACTCGCTCTTTCTCTCTCTCTCTCTCTCTCTCTCATTACCTCTCACTCTCTCGTTTCCTTGAATACATTTTGATGTTGCCGACGCGCGCACTCGACTACGTATGAGTTTACTTGTAATTAAAACAATTTAAGATTAAATAGGTACATACCTATAGCGTTCTAATCACTCTTTCAGCTTTCACTTGTCAACATTACCTACACTTCACCTCCAATTTATCAGTCCAGGGTCTCGATATGCAGGCCACCGCATAAAACACACATCTCCATTCGACTCGACACAGACCGTGTCGTGTTACTCTCGACGTAAAGTCATATCCTCTGTCTCGATAGAATAGGTGATCGGCCGGCCTACCTGTGGCACACTATGGAATGAACCAGTTGTATGTAACCAATTCACAAATGCTGCGAATCACCGGTAAGAAGGAAGACGTCGATGGTTTTCAGGTCTTCCTGACACGTGGCGCTCGTCATAACGCCGCCGAGCCGCAGCAAGATTACCGTCACAAGCACCGCCACACATTATCATCTCGTAATATTAGGCATTTGAGTACGAATTCATTGCACTGACCGCACACAAACATAATACACAGGTAAACAGAACGAGAATGAAAAACAAACCAAAAGTCCCGAAAGAACGAAAACGTAAGTTGACCTTCTAAATTCTGAAAACTCACAAGTACGCCGATGACAGTCATGGACGCGACTGACGCGATGACCAAAACTACATAGGTTATTATTATTGCAACTCGAACACCAATGTACCTAAATCAAAAGTGTACCGATTTTGGGGTTCCGCGTCAAGAAATATTATTTATTATTAGACCTTTCCATTACAACTAACCTTTATTTAATTATCATTTAAACTAAGAATAAGAGAGATACTTAGATTATTAATATCATTGTATAAGTCCGCATTTTATTGTTTCGTGAAAATAACACGGCTTTATGAAAAAAATAACAAAACTTCAAAGCAAATAATCTACAGAACCTTACTGACACATCAGAAACCCGAGTTTCTCAATACACATCGTCGTCGATTTTATGTCTCTCTCGCTCCTTCTTGCATAGACTAATGTGAGCAATGGTGCAGATATTGAACTTCAATCAAAGTATTTGCAATTTCTTTTTTATTTTGACTGTATTATTACAGAAGTTTTCATATTAATAGTTTTTGAAACACCGTTAATCACAAGATTAGTGTTTTTTTATAGTTAAAAGTCATTTACTACTAACTTTTTCTTTGTTTGGAAATAATAAATTCCTCTCAGATGCATATTTATTCTAGGCATTTATCTTTAGATTTATTTAACTTCTGTTATTTTTTAAACTAGTTCGGCACATGGAGTCGATGACCAAATACAACACAACAGCTGTTTTTAGGGTTGTCAGCGTACAGTTTTACTTCGAAGAAAAAAAGCTGAATATCTAGGTCATGTGCTGGGTTTCAGTCTTAATGATCATTTTTCTGGGTTCTATTCATCATACCGTATGTGCCATATTCGGGATTATACAGGTATTACCAAACACGCTGTATATTGAAATTTGTACAGCTTTTTATACTAACTGGGGAAGTTTTAGGTTGCATATTTACTGTTTGAGACAAATTATTATTAATTTCGTATGATTGTTCATGTATATTTGTCAAACAATGGCGTTTGCTAGTTGATGGAACTGGATCTGATGAATTATCATTATCAACGTCGGTAGATGGACGAATGTTCTCTTCAACGTATGAAGGAGACGGACAGGACTTTAAATTAATGAATTGTGTGATTTTTTTTCCAGTTTCTAGTTTGTCGTTTAATGAATCACCAATATAGTTTTTCGTAACAAAACACCAAACAAACACATTTTGTGTAACAAACAACTAAACTTGCAAAGAAAATTTCTGGAAAATGGTAGGCAAAGGGAACTATGCCCATACATGCATATTCTTCAGTAGATTTTTTTTATTGATATGAAATGAAAATGAAATGAAACCTAACCTCACTAATTCAATCAAATCATCAAATTTGATATCGATACAAATTAGTAGCTTTTTTTAGAAAAATACTTACGCTACGTATTTACATGGGGTATGTTCCGATATACACTGCGACTACTGAACAATATGACGTCAATTTAGTATACTGGAAGCCCGTTCCTTTATAGGTAGTTATACTGGTGACTTTTTAAAACGGAACGCAGTCCAGTATACTGTTAATCCTATTTTGGCGCCATTTTCAAATTTGTTAATGCAAGGTGAATATAAATATAAAGATTCCCTCTTTTCAAAAGAAAATTGGAAAATTGTATAAAAAAAATATTTATCAATTAAATCCATCTTATAAATAAACGTAAGTATTTTTTTTTTGTTTATTTAGAAACTTATCATTTTCTGATTCTGTTTCGACTGATCACGTGATCAAAAGCACTGCGAGCACCTTACCTCGAAATCTCCAGTGCTCACAGTACAAATATGGCGGCAATTTATGACGTCATAAATATCCCTAGGGTACTGTAGCAGTGTACTGGCAGTCCATAACGGAACGGATTTTTCAGCAGCATTATTATCAGCAGTAAGACCACTGCGAAGTGCTCGCAGTGTATATCGGAACATACCCATGAATCATAAAAACTTCTTAGATTTTTTTTTTTAGTAAAAACTTCATGGTTTGTTTTTCTTATTAATAGACATTATTTTGACAGTTGGGAAAGAGAACGCACAAGTGCGGGTAAGGTAAAAAAAAAAAAAGCACGAGTGTGTAATAGCCCACATCCCGAACGCTATACGTCCCTGCAATACGCCACTTTTTGAGCAACTGTTAGCTATTAGCGTAAAATAACAATTAGCGTACACTTTATTGTTTTGTCGGTTGAACTTTTCTTCGACAGTTTTTCTCGTCGGTAAGAGTATCTTTCTGGCATCATGTCTCCTCATTAGCAATGGACAACGTTCGCGTCGTAACTTACGAAGACGATCATTTAAAAAGTGAACTTTTCTACGGCTATGGGCCTTTACCTTAAGATCATATTCAGTATTCTGTTCACCGAAACGCTCTAAAAATTAGTCTGCAGAGAGAGTTTCTTCTGAGTGCGACATGGACTTCGGCGAAGTCGCTCTCGGATGATTTTGATGTTCACAGGTGTCCTCAAAGAGCGTGGCGGACCACTCCTTTGGCGATCTTGCAGAGAACTTGTCTCTTCGTACCGCTGTATTGTGTAATAGACGAAGACTTACAAGAAAACTTTCAGCCCGCGGAAAATCTGCATCGGTTCTTTTCCCGCCTTAAATAGCGAAATGACAGATGCACGTAATTATTTCGTCCCCTCCATCACAAGAAATATAAACAAATGAATTTGCGATACGAATAAACTAAAAGTTAACATTCTAAATTCAAAATCGGTAAAAAAAAAAGAATAACAGCCAGTAACATTTTATTTTATTTTTTAGTTAGAAGTTTGTCTCAAAACTTATGAACACATGAGGTATTATTCGGTTGAAGCATGTTTCGATTTTGTATTTTCTAATGTGTAATGTATCATTTATGTTTGAGTCATCCAAAATTGAGTACATCTAAAAATGCCACAAATGTTGCTGAATTGACGTAAATTATAGTTCTGATTAAGTACCTTTCGAGGAAACAGTTCATCCCTCGTAGTTCCATGGCCAGTCTGGCCATATTCGCCATTACCACAGGTAAAAACACCACCATCCAAAGTAAGGAATGCTGTAAAGTCTTCGCCACAAGTGATGTGACAAACCTAAAAAAAATCATATTTTTATATGATCAATTTTACATTAATAGTGCTATATTGCTAATTATCTTAAAAGAACAAGATAACAAAAAATTACTAGTATAATTCCCGCAAATTGCTTTCCGCTTATTATTGTTGAAAAATGTTATTTTCATTTCTTTTCCTTTGCCGTATACCTCAATATTTACATATAAATTGATTTTTTCAAAAAATCTACGCCATTAATTAACAAATTAAAAGTTAAAAAATTATTATAAAAACATTTTGAGTATTATTCATAAATATTTCATTTATTAATAAATAATTTATCTCTTGTCTTTTGTGTTAGATAATTATCCACCGACATTTCCATTAATTACAAATGTGTTTTTGTAATGTACTGAAATAATTAAGATTTGAACAATATGGAAAGTATCGAATCAGTGAATCAGATGATGTCCATTCGCCCATTTTAACAAATTGCCTAAGACATAACGGTCATCAAATCAAATGAAAATATACTTTCAAAGATACATACTTTGACATCTCTCAGTGACTTGAGATGTGATGGATAACATCTATTATCTTTGTGTTGCAGTCCTAATTGTCCATGAGTATTTTTTCCCCATCCAAACACAGCACCAGATCTGTTTTAATAAATATTGAAAAAAAAAACAATTATATTCATATAAAATTTTAATAAAGCAATAATTTATTAATTTACCAAAGACATCACACATATTCCCAATATTATTATCACTACAAAAAGGAAATTGTGGTTATTATATCTTTTTAAAATATGTTCAACAGACCATATGAATAACTTTATCATCATACACAATGGTATTAAACAATAAAATTGTATTAAAAACTGTTATGATTGATTTAGACAGAATCAACAGGATTACTTTGTAAATACATGTGATTTGGTTGATATTGAATTCAATTAAAATGCACTTGACATTCAAAACTGTATTGAACCTTGAGTAAATTTGATTCAACCACCATTAATTTGAGTCAAATTGATTGATACAATACATAATGCATTGTATCAATCAAAAGCAGTGTTAAACATTGAGTGCAATTCAATTAAATCTTATATCAATTGAACCAAAGCCGACATTGTTACACAGTAGAACATCTGTAGGTCGACAGGAAGAAAACGCCTCAAATATTAAATCCACCTTTTTACATTTGCACTTATAGAATAAATCTTATGTTTGTATTAAAAGAGGTTTAACTAATTTAATAATAAATTATAATTAATAAAGATGAACATAACATACTTACTTAGACAAGGCAAATGTATGGTTACTGCCACATGCTATTAAAGCAATAGGCACTCCAAGTAAAGATGTGATTTGTTGTGGAACGATTTCCTTACTCGACATAGTGCCTAAACCACACTGACCATAGCTATTGGCGCCCCATGCGTACAAATCACCACCTACAAATTGAATATGTATTTTTTTAACACAAAGTAAATTCACCTTTGCCAAATATGAATTGTCTTTATATTCAAACTGTAATACAATAAAGTCCTTGGAAAGACATTATACCACATATATATACCACATTTCAATTATAAACAGCTAATTAAACAATCATACGCAGCACTTAAAATATTTTATGATGTCTTTATTGAATGGAAACAAAAAATGAATAATAAATGTAATTATTACCCAGATGAAAATAGGTATCTGAATGTTTAATGACTTTTTTATAACTTTGTAGATTCAATTAAGAAAATGTTTTATTAGTGAGAGTGGATTGAAAGGTGCAAAGGTTGAAAAAAATACAAAAAAACATTTTTCAAGGTAATCTCAGTCTTAGTCTATTTAAGCATTTCTTCTTCGCCAGGTCTCTCAAAAAGTGTTAATACAACTGCCTATAAACAAGATCCCATCTGTCGAACGAACTAATTATGTTAGTTGTAGTGCGCTTAATTGACTTAAATCAATTTAAATATAGAACTAACACCTAAAGTGTTAAGATTTAAATAATTCATAATTATGAACTATGTCATGCATTGTAAGCTACTCTATATCATATCAATCTTAAAAACAAAAAACAAAAATGAGTTGGATTTATGCATTAAAGATTCAGCATAAATATTAAATTAAAGAACCATTCACTTTTAATAGGTTTTCTTTAAATATAAAGATAAAGGCATACTCTCTAAATTTTTATAAAAAGCTCCAGTTTTGTGTAATACTCTATGCAAACTTAACAGGCATAATTCCTACAAGAATAAAATGTACATAATTTGTTACTAACTGTACATTTACTGGTGTACAATAAATTATTAAATCATTCATATAACAAAAAAAAGTAGTACTTTGTAGTTTTCAGTGTAAAAAACATTGTTGTGGTATTGCCACAGAGCATCCTAAACCACCATACCACACAATGTTTTTTACCAAGCAGACATAGTTTACAGCTTGTATTTATCTTAGATAAATGTATGTAACTGCATGTATGTTCATGAGATATGATTTACACAGTTAAAATTTTATAATAAAAAATACAAAAAAACAGAATAAAATAAATATTTAAGAAGGCTCCTTTATAAAGTTTTATTTGCATTTTCATATATAATGTACTGTTGATAGTGTGATACACTATTTTAATAATGTGCAATTTTTATGATTTAGTTATTATAACTTACTGTTTGTCAAAGCTACTGAGTGGTACGATCCACATGCAATCTGGACTACATTCTTTGTGGCAAGTGTTCGGACAATACTAGGGACATTGTGTGAGATTGAATCATTTTTGGGGTCAAGTCCTAATTGTCCCATACTATTGCAGCCCCAACTGTAAGGTTGACCCCACTCATTCAGGGCCAATGAATGCTGAAGGCCACATGCTACTGCTGATATTTTAAACTCCTTCAATTTTTCCACAAAACCTGTAAGGATATATTTATTACCATAAAACATATTTATAGAAATGTTGCATTTAAAAGTGGCATATACCATACCAGGAATCTTTCCTTCTTTAGAGTCTGTATTCCTTCCAAGTTGGCCCACTTCATTGCTGCCACAGGAATACAAATTGCCTTGATTTGTTAAATAAAGGGTATGAAATTCACCTGCTGCTATTCCACGAATGTGATTGCTTTCTTTCCACTTAGATAACATAGGCTTTATAATCTGCATGAAATAAATGATTCATAATTGTAATGAAGTATTTAAATAGGATTCTTTTCAGAGAAAAAAAAAATAGAATATTAAGCATGAAAAACAAAAAAAATCAAGACTGAATGTAGATAGAAACGAAACCTTACCAAGTCAATAGTTTCATGGCCTTCAATATACAATTCATGATGAGTGGCATTACCCCAACAAAACATTTTTAAGTTTTTTCGTTCAATGACTTTAAATTTACCAGTTTATAACCTGTACACTATTCAATCCAGTCTATTACAAATGAAGGTAGTTGGTATTTATAAAATAATTTTATTTACACCATCGAATTTATTTGCGACACTTTCATAGCACAGTAGTAAATACATTTTGCAAATCTCGAGAACAATCTTTCGAATAAAATTAATTTACAAACGAAGATGATGAAATTGTCTAGAAATATTTTTTCAATCCGCTAAATTTGTTTGATGACAAAGATGCGTTAAATAAATTTTGTTATTTGCATTTTTAGAGTTTTGTGATCTCTTTATTAGAAATAGATAAGAAAAATTTTCTACGCTAAAAAACGTCTTTCTCTAAAAAAACACGTTCATTTCAATGTCAGTTTGACAGTTTCTTTTCTTTTCAGGCAAAGATACTTCACTGTACCGCCTTGTTTGTAGTGTAGATTTTTTTAATTAACAGTAGAATCCGTTTAATACTCGGTGGAACAGAACGACCGACACTCCCGAGGTTCCTGGAGAGTACTATTTGTCTTTAATATGATGTAAAAAAAAATATAAGTCTAGGTCAAATAGTTTCGGAGATATTAGATTACAAAGTTTTTGAAAAAAAATGAGTGTTTTCAACCCTGAGTCAGCTGTTTTTGGGACGTACTAAGGAAAAGTTTTAAATCGGTCATTGACTTCTTCGTTTCTAAAAACGAAATAAACTAGTTTGTGATTTATAAGACTGCTTTCATGCAAATTCTACCAGACAATCAATAAACAAGGCAGTCAAAATGCTTAAATCGATTTACAGACTAACAGCCGGTTTCTGATTAGAAAAAAGTAGAAAATTTCTACTGCTTATTCTCAATAACCTAAGTTTTTTTTTTTAATTTCACAAGTCAAATAGTCCTAGTTTTATCAAACTGCTATCAACTGATCATCAAAAAACTAAAATCGGAAACGAAAACTAAGTGATGTTAATTTGAGACGTTTAACTTTAAATTCTCAATTAAGAAACCGAGTGTAAAATTTCCTTAATTATTGTAGAGAGATCAGCCTAACATTAACCTACGTTATTTTAAAAGAGCAATTCTCCAAAAAAAATTTTTGAATGGGGTAATACTCCTTTAACAACGGGATCGTTAATTAAACTCGATAAACTCACAAATCTTCCAGCGATTGATCATTAACACAAATGAACTTTGTTTTAAAATCATTGAGGAATTTGTTATTAAAATAGAATTTAAAAAGAATATTTAAAAATGCGTGATATCAAAAGACGACAAAATAATGTGAACCGAGTTCGTCCCTCGATATCAAAGCCCCACCCGCCCTCCAGCCACCAGGTGGCTTCATTATTCTGTCGATATTTTCCGGGCGATCAGTCGCCGTCGACATTTTGCGTTGGAGTGTTGTTGCGCATCGCCGCCGACGCATCGCTGCGAAGCGTCTTTTTTTTCGATTTTTGTTTTGTTCTAGTGCATTTTTAATTGAATTTTTGTTAGTAAGATAATAGAGTGTTCGTCTTGAGTGTTAAGTTTAGTTAAGTGAAGATTGTGTTTAGTTTTGTGTGAAATGTGATGTGTTTTGCGCGTGCATACACTGGCATGCAAAAGAGCGTGCTTAGCTGTCTTCAGAGAAGAATTGAATATTTTCAGCATCGACTATCATTAAGATATCGGTAAATAATAAATTAAATTAATGTATTTCGCGGTCCGTTGTAATCTGCGCACAATCGATATTGCGCATGCGCGTTAAAGGGCTGTCAACACTTAGAAATTTAAAATGTTTACTCCATTTTTACACCTCCTCTATTTTGAAATATTTGTCAAATAAAATGAACGTTTGCATGTAACCTAACTTGAAACTTTCGGCTGTGTCGGTCATTTTGTTGCTCCCTGTATAACTCCGTTAATATTAACCAATCATTAAATATGTTTTTAATCACAAAACTGAGTTTGTTTTCGTATATTTTTTTAAAATGTACTTTATTGACTGCTCTTATACTGATTTGAGGCTTAAAATCAAGTAGAGAATCTTAAGTTTATAAATTAATCTCTGCAAATTGATAAGTATACAAAATTTTTTTTCTATTAAAAATGAAAGAATAAGCTAAATCAAAAATACTGTGAAAAAAAGAGATACCTACTTACTATTATCTATGCTAATCGTTTCGGAATAAGTGGCAGACAGACAGAGATGACGTTGACGAATCTATAAGAGTTCCAAGGTTTATCGACTAGTGCAAACTCATTTTCATTGGTCGATAGGGCCCACATACGGAGTGCGGAAGATTTCTGCGCTTATTTTCATTAGTCGGTCGTTGACTGTCATAGGTTTATCGACTGGTGCAAGCTTATTTACATTGGGCGATAGGGCCCGCATGCAGAAGCACCTCTTTTCCTCGTTAAGTATATTCATTAATTTAATGCACTAACCCGTTATATTTGTTCTTGGTTGATATCGTTTCTGTTAGCCAAGGGTTGCCTGGCAGAAATTGCTATCCTAGCAATAAGGCCGCCTTTTGCATATATCTTCATTTCTTTTTGGTTTTAGCGCAATAAAGTATTAATCAATCAATTAATTAATCAATCAATCATAATTTTGGTTCATATTTTTTCTTCTTTCGACTGTTTTTCTAATCATTTTTATGATATTCTATACACCAAATTATTAAAATTTCATATTCCGAATGTAAATAGTTTATCATAGATGTGTAAATTATAATATCCAAATTTCGATTTTTATAATACTTTATTATTAAAATCGAAATTTGGATAAATAAATACAAATATTAAATTTCTTTGTAAATTTATAATTTCGTTGGGTATTATTGAACCATGAAAAAAGGGCCATTATGAGCCCAAAAAATATCACAGATAAAAAATATTTATTGTAGGTTTAATGACATTTATATAGTACCACCCCACATACAAGCACTACATGTTAACAAAAAGCTGATTATTAGTGTCATATGATAGCTGATAAATTGCGACCAAGGAAACTGAAAAATTTATAAACCAAAACTCAAGGAAAGACGTGAGAAACCAAATTACAATATGTAGGTTGCGCTTCGACATGGTCTTGATACAAACTAAGTGTTAGAATGTATCACACATTTAATGAGGTTTCCCTTAGTAGCAAAGACGCAGCAATCGACATCTTCGATCATAAATTCTCCAGATACAAAGACTTTAACTGACTTTTTTTACATATTATGTATCATCATTCACAAAATAATCGTTTTTTTATAGGCCTTATGTTAGTAAAAGTTGTCGTTACCGTCCTCTGATAAATTGGCATTAGAAGCCAACCATTCTCATCCACAAATGGTCCTGAAAACGTCGTGGTCATCGTGATATGCTGAACCGCGGCCTTGAAGTCAACCATACCATCTTCTCTATTTAATCCCCTTTGGACGCACTAAGGATATGTCCACCAGAGGAGAAAACAGGATGGGTCTGAGACTTACGGGGTTGACCAAGCTCTAGCTCAGTCACAATTTGTGTGCCCCCAGACTTGTTTGACCCAGAGTACGCAGACTGACAAAAAGAAAGGTAGACGAAGGAGCGAATTCTCAGGAGGGTGGCCAGGCCCCAGCTTCATTCCGACATATTAAACTGCCCATTTTAAGGAACTTGTACCAAATTGTTGATTCCTTGCACGCCACGCATGGCCTGCTTGTGTTGGATTATTAGTCATTCCTGTTCAAAATCCCCGAAGAGACTTTTTACCAGACACCCAGAATGTAACAACCTTCCAAAAACCGTTGTCGTTCCCATCGTTCCCTCTGCCGCAACTTCGTCGTGTGGTGGCTCGGCGTGAATAGAGAAACATTTGTATTTCCAGCTACTCTAATGTATTAAAATCGCTAATTCATATTTTCTATCAATGGTTCGCAATTTCGGAAAATGTCAATATCGGCGACCTCCATTGAACTTCATTTGGACACTTGATTTTGTTTTGATAAACTGTTATTTCGTATTCATTTCGTTAAAGTGAACTTGAGTAACCTCATCTAAATAAAAAAAAAACTTACATAGGTAGCAACTGGCTCGGGACTACTTTTTTTTAATAAGTTAAAAGATACCAAAACCACGCGTGATTGATTACTGATTCCCCATAGAGTTCTGTGGGCATTTTGTTTCGGTTGTCATCAGAAGTCAAAGTTACAGAATAAGGGGGCATGTGCTTTAAAAATATCTATGAAACAGATTCCTTCCATATTTTTGCATTTAAGTTTAATTTGAGTTTTAGAATTTTATGCCTTTTTTTAAACACTTCCTCAGTGCAATACTGGTCATACCAAACAAATTATTTTTTATGGTCATACTGACCGAGACGACCGACGACGGGTTGTTCGTTGTTCGGCCATATTTGTTATTGTGCTCAATGGGGATTTATTTGGGACGTTTAGTTTAGTCTTCATAGTTTGTGATGTATCTTATTTCCTTACATCTTTATCCGAAAGATTTTCAGTAGCGACTTAGATTATTTTATTCAGTCTAAAGTAATGCTTGTTTAGATTTGTGCTTTTAACCGTGATACCCCCCGTGGTAATTCGCTGAATCGCTCAGCAATCTTTATTGAAAAGTTATTTCAATAACTTTGTTTAAAGTGGCGGGGACATCAAATAACAATGGGAAAGGGGGTCGTCAAGCTGCCCCAGTTGACGTGGGGTCTCCCTTACTGGACTGGGAGGAAGGTGACCATTTCAGCTTTGAGGATTCTGAACGATTTGAAGAAGATTCACTGTGTAGCTGGAGCTCAGAGCCAGAGAGTCTGTGCAACAACTGGCGAGGGTGGCGAAGACCAAACCTTCAAAACACATTCACTCCACGATCCGCGAAAAAAAGTGTTCAAGGTAATTTACTCTCAGCTGATCCTTTGTTACGAACTATCTATGTGACGACAACAGATTTAGAACACAATGAAATTTACAAATAATTGAACGTGTTCTTGTTTTATTTTATATACAGACACGATATTATTATTTTCCTTAAATTTTTATTGATAGTTGTGGTGTCATGACTTGTAGATAGTAATTTCATTGTATATGTGTTGTGTAGTGGTACAAAGAACAGGTGTTATAAAGTCATTTACCTTTGAGTGGATAGATTGGCTAATAATAATATATGTTTGGTTTCAAATCCCTGCCAATTACTGTAGCATTTTCTTTTTAGTTTAAATTTGTTTTGATTTTGCTAGTTTTATTTATAATATTATTTGGAAAGTTGTGATATTTTATTTTTGACTTTCACCACTTTCACTATTGTTTTTGTGTCAAGATTTTGTTTCATTTCAGAAAAATATTTTTGAATACCTACTGAATTATAATGTAGACAACTGAAATGTTATGTTGATTATATAAGTTAAAATATTTAAAAATTCTGATATGTCTGAACATATCTCAGTAGCTATTATAAATAAACTGAACTTTCCAAACACCTGGATTTCACAACTTTACTACTTACTTTAGGTACTTTGCTAAACTAATCTTCATATATCTTTTTTTTGTAATACATTTGAAATCTTTCTTTACTACAATAATAAAATAAAAAAAATAAATAAAAAAAGGTTCATATCAACATCTGTTTTAAACTGTAAGCCACTAATATAACAGAAGTATACTCATTATATTATAATATATAGGAGCATAATTATATTCCTTAAAGTATGAGTGACAACAGAATAACATAAAATATTTTTTTAGTTTAATATATTCATATTATCTTTATATTTTTAGCTATTTTGAATAAAAATCATTCAAATTAACTTTGTGATTATTACTATATTTGAATTGATTTCCAGACAAAACAGTATCCACACTGAGTGAATTAGCTGCCAAATGTGTAGCCTGCCACATACCTTTCGAACTTGTTGAACATGTCTACCCACCTGTGCCAGAGCAATTACAACTGCAAATAGCTTTCTGGAGCTTCCCAGATAGTGAAGATGATATTAGATTATATTCATGTTTGGCAAATGGATCAGCAGAGGAGTTCCAGAGGGGAGAGCATCTTTTTAGAGATAGAGCAGTCAAGGATGTTCTCCAAATTGGTGAGTTTATAATCGAAGTACTTGCATATGTCTAAAAATTTCAGTAAACTCAAATTATAGGGAACAGAAGCAATTAATGCTTTATACACCATAATACTATCTTTATAATTAGTAATATAGATTTTTTCATTGACTGCTTGATTATTTATTTTTATTGTAAAATATATATTTGTATTCTTATTTAATAGGTTTCCATCTGTCTGCAACTGTCACTCTCAGTGTACCCCGGGCTCAGTACAATGTAGCAGTAACATTTGATCGGCAAAGAATATCTTCATGTAATTGCACATGTTCCTCTACAGCACACTGGTGTTCTCACATAGTTGCAGTGTGTCTGTACAGAATACATTTGGTTAGTAGACATTTAATTTGAATGTTAAGGTAGGTTAACATATTACAGTGTGAAGGTGCAACATTATATACCCCACCTCACTACATACTGCACATTTTAGTAAAACACAAAGTGGATTGGAGTGAAATGATGAATATGAGATACATATTTTGTGTTTTACTATGAAATACCCATGTGTCCCATAGTAAAGCTCCATAGCTTACATGAATAAAAACACATTTAAATATTCTCAATGAGCAAATATTGGCAGGGTTAGTCTACCTACATTTGGAAACTGTAATTAACAGTTAAAATTCTTTAGAGAAAATATAATGATTGGTGGTGCTGGCTGGTTTATTAGAATATATACCTATTAAGACAAATTTAAAGGCTAACATTTTAATCAATAAAAAGTTTTTAAGGTTTAATTGTTTTCCTATCGTTATTCAATAATCAGATCCATCATAAGATTGAAGCCATATTTGACTATATAAAATTTTCTACAGCCAACACAAGTATGTCTCAGAGCTCCAGTATCAGAATCGTTACAAAGATTACGAAGAGATCAACTACAAAAGTTTGCACAATACCTCATATCAGAGTTGCCAAGACAAGTCCTGCCCACTGCTCAACGTATTCTGGATGAGCTACTATCAGCTCAACCAAACCAGATTAACACAACCTGCGGCGCCCCCGATCCGACTGCAGGGGCTTCGGCCTATGAATACACGTCATGGTTCCTGGATGAGAAAACGTTGCACAACAACATTAATAAAATACTAGTAAAGTTCTGTGTTCCAGCTCCTATAGTATTTAGGTGAGTAATTGACCTTAACCAAGGATCACCCTTAATAGCAATCTTCAATACATACAGCAAGTGGGACAATACTATACAGCACAATAGCAGTGTCTCGCTCACTGCACAGACTAAACATTATTATAAGAGCTCATGGTTATTGGTCTCATGGTCTCGCTCACTGCACAGACTAAACATTATTATAAGAGCTCATGGTTATTCCCCTAACTTTAAACATAGTGGCTTATTTTAAAGTAAGCGACTCGGATTTTTCTTTGCCACTATAAAATTAAACAAAAAAATAAAGTTTGGATTTTATGTATTTATTTGATGCGAGAATATCATTCTCAGATTATAATTATCAACTTAATTATGAATAATCTAAAAAGGCCATACATATAAATGTGACGCGTATGTCGCCTTTCAGCCTGATGGTTGCATATTGCTGGCATTGGCTCTTTTGCCTTTAAAGCAAACACGACTTTGTTTAAACATTAAATCACTTCAAAATCTATCTTAACCATGTAAATGTCAAGTGACATATGAAAAATGATATACTGTTTCTAGTGACGTTAACTACTTAAGTACAAGCGCACCTCCTGCGGCGGCGGAATGGTCGTCTCTTTTAAGGCCTCTACGAGGTCGCGAACCGGAGGGTATGTGGAATCTACTGTCGATAGTCCGAGAGATGTTCAGACGAAACGACAGAAACGCTATTCCACTGTTGGAAATAATCACAGAGGAAGTCATGGCTTGTGAACAAGTAAGATGATTTATTAAAATTTGTTTTTTTTTTACCAATTTTCCACACTGAAAAATGTAGGTCACTTCAGATTCATACACTTGAAGGTGCAGACTGTGTTTCTAATTATTAGACTGACAATTACACTTACTATTTCATTCATCTATGTATGAGAGCTTATTTTAACTTAAAGATTTACATTATTATTATTATTGCTCTAATATCCAAATAGAACAATGTCATACAAAACTTTCTTAATTTCACACTGTGGTATGTATCTCAACATTGTCATTGTTTAGATCATCGTATGGTGGTATAGCACGAAAGCGGCTTTGGTCGCATGGGGCGGTGGCGGCGGCGGTGGCAAACATGGAGGCAGTGCTGGCAACTCAGCAGCTCAGCACGCCTGCTCATCGCTTTGCGACGAGGTATATAATATAAGCAATATGCAGTATATAATATTAGCAAGTTTTGTTTAATTTTACAATATTTTCAATGAAAGTATTTATTATTTAATTCATGCAGTTTAAGACACTTGGTTTAGCATCCGGCTTCTAATGTCTAAATATTAAATGAATAACTATTAGATTTTCTATTACAAAAGACTAGAATGATATGTATTACACTGTAATTAGTAAATTAACTCTTTTTGAATTTAGGTGGTTGTGCTTTGGCGTCTCGCTGCGTTAAACCCAGCCTTGGCACCGCACGAACGCGATACTCTACACGAACAATTCACACAATGGCACATGAAAGTTCTGGATAAGGTATATTTATAATTATGATTGAAGGATGATGAATATATAAATAACATTTATACAGTAGTTATTTATTTACTCATTCATGTATTATATCCCTTACTGAGTACGAATGATGCAAGCTTGATAACTTGTAGATACCATTTTAACTGGGGCAATATAATGGTGCCTACGAAAAACAAATGTAAATTTTTATATGAGATAAGTTTTATATGTGTATAAGACGTATTTATGATAAACAATAAATGTAACTAAAGTTTGATCTAAATAAAGCTTTATTGAAATGAGTTTGTTAAAAAAAAAGTATTTTAAAAACATTTTTATTTTCCCAGGTGGCGAAGAACCGTAACAATCACATTGGTAGTTCGTCTCACAGTAGGCATGCATCTCGAACGCATTCTCATCCGCCTTACATTAACGGCATTAGTGAAAATGAAGTATTTCCAGGTTTCCATCCAGCCATGGAAGCATGCTTCTTGGAATGGGATGATTATCCAATACCAGGAGTTACATACACCAAGGACCTAAACCCTTTGTATCATAGTCCCTTCACTATATTCAGGCATCAGGATAAACAGAACGACAGTGTTCATCAGGTTGGTGAAAACTAGATACTTCTAGTTTTCTTCAGTTTTATGCCTACTGGCATGTAACTGCTATCTGATAGAACTCAAACATTTGCTATATATATTTTAGGTAAATTCTTCAAAAGCAGTTTTGAACAACGAGATGTCCCTAAGTTACCGACTGACGAATCCGGATCCTTCAATGCAAGGTCACCGCACTATGGTTCACAGAAATAGCCGTATCAATGTAGATTTGGCAATGCCTGGACCATCGAGTCAAGTAAGTTTATAGGTATTTTATGAAGGAGAAGGTAGAAATATGAAACAGCGTGGTATGGAAAAATGATACTAACTGCTAGGTTGTAGATCTCTATTTAAATAACTAAATCATAAACTTATATATTACTTAAAGTAAAGGGGGATTTAGAGTATGTGGTACATATTGCTGACAAGGGAGGCAATTGTTAATCACATATACATTGCATATTACATTTAAATAATGTCTGCAAATATAGGGTCTATAATTTTTTTTATTCAGCTTTATTAAATTTTCGATGATGATTTTAGTTACAATTATACAACCTGCTTCTGTCAATATGAATGACCTAAACACGAAAGGCTTTTAGGCCCTTCTTACATTCATGATATTTACAGATGACTATTATCCCACTTGACCCTCGATAACGAGTCGCCGAAGTTTTCTTTTAAAATTATCCTCGCTAGGGGCAGGTTAAGAATCCGGAATCTTGCAAGAAGAGCTCTAGACACCGTGGAATATCTTACATTTATGTTTGCATACTTCGCTCCCTGTATTGCGTACGTCTACATTTAATTTCGCTATACTTGTCAACCTATTCGCTACGCGACGCGTTGTTTACGAAATTTAACAAAATTGCAGCGGAATAGCAAGCAAATATTCTACGGTTACGCATCGTCAATTGCAAGTATCATAATGAAGTAAAGGAGAATTTTCTGTGTGCAAGAAATTTCTCTTCCAGTGCTCTATCAATCACTTCCACAAATCTCGATTAAAATTGTTATTAGTTTAAAGCGACATTACCCATACGTATTTGACATTAATTAGTGCTGAAAGGCGTCATTAAACCTTAATGGACGTTTGTGCAACTGACCATGTGAATATTATAATTTTATGTCCTATAGCCTCTTTGAAATAAGATGACTATGTATTTATATTAATTTACAACAAAAGTCTATATATATTAATTTACTATAATATTGAATTTATATAATACAATATCATATTGATTTCTTATATTTTCACGCACACATTGTGTCATTTATATAACATCAATTTAAAAAAAATCTTTTCATTCTGATAACATTTTATTTTTTTTTATTTACTAGCCCTGTGGTACTGGAGAAGATCCAAATGAACAGCCACGAGATTCTGGACCAAGTGATGGCAATCACTCTAGTGTATCATCAGAAGGTAGTGTTACAGTGTATTCAAATTTATGTTAAAATAGTGATCTGTGGGAAATTAATATATATAGTGATTATATGAGCCGAATTGTAATATAAGACGCCGTTTTGTTATAAGGTTTTTGCGAAAACGAAGAAGAAATACTTCAACAGAGCGGTGGCGACACTGATTCACAAGAGTCAAGTTCTCCCCCTGTCTCATCCGACGACGCTCAGCGCAGAATTTCGAATGACGATTCGGTATCTGATGATGAATGCAACATTTATTTCTATGATTCTGCCGCCGCCCGACGTGCTGTAGGCGGTGAAGGAACCAGTTCAGGAACGGCTATGGTGAGATTTTATTCAAAAGAGAACAAGTTTCGTTTTTTTATCAACAAACAATTCATGTGTCACATATATCATACAGCTGTATGTACAGTGTGGCCATCTGAACTCGCTCTTGGCCGAGTTTTGTATATTATGTATAAATACGGCTGTAGACAGTAAACGAAAAAAAAACATTATTTTTTGGTAGTATTACATTCGTCGGGCGTAAAATCACGCGACGCTGTGAGAGAAGTTGGCGTTTTCGCGGGAATTTTTGATAATTCAATTTATTCTTATTATTTAAATGATACGTTTTTAGATATATATCTAGTCTAGCCATAAGTTCTGTTACAAAGGAAATATCCTATAATTTCTAAAAAATAATTTTATTTTAAAGTTTTATATGTGATTATGTAGAGTGAAAAACATATGTTAATGTACTAAACTAGTTATAAAGTTACAAACCTTTAGCTCTAACACACTTTTTTAACGGTCGGGCTATTCGTCGATGGATTAAGGAACCGTTTCCATTGGATACTTGGTCACTGCTGCTTCCAAAGATTTTTAGAGCGACCCAATATTTGGGTGACGCTTAACAGGCCATGTCCTCTAATACAGACCATAATTTATATTCCAAAGGGATTAAGTCCGGACTAGCCGAAGGCCTTTCGTCTGCCTTTATGAATTTTGGAACATTTTGCTCAAGCCAAATTTGGGTAGTGCGCGCCTTATGACCTGGGGCTGAATCCTGTTGGAATGTCCACACTTCGTTTTTGAATAATGTGTTGTTGAAAGGTTTAACTATTGCTTCTAACACGGTATCTTGATACACTTTGGCTGAAGTTTTCACTTACCTTACCTTTAACATTTCCGCAAAAATTGAGTTTTGTAACGCCTTGGTAGGGAGACACCCCACCAAACCCTGGCATATGCTGAATGATGGTCTCGCTGAACTTTGGCTACTACCTCGGAAGCTTCTTTAGAACTGTGTGCATACAGTCGATCATTTTGTTTATTGCAGTGCTCCTCGAATGTAATATTTTTTTCATTGGTAAAAAGATTTTTTTCTGTGTTTTATGTCAGCGTATCGAAGTAACAGTTGTTTTGATCTTTCGTCTTAGCTTTTGTTTTAGTGCCTAATTTAAGGAATGTCCTGTGAATTTCCAGTAAGCCCATAGATCTAAGTCTTGTTTGACAATCCGAGAAAGTGTCCTCGGTGGAATTCTCATTTCTCTGGAAAGGATTTTATGCTTTATTATGGGATTTCGACGAATCCTGTCCTTGATTGCATTAACGACCTGGTTTGTTCGAATAGACCGCGGTCGGCCGGATCTCTCATGGTCATCAACAGACATGGTCTCAATGTACCTTTGGATGATGCGCTAAACAAACATTCGGCTAACCCCTAGCTTTTTCAATGTATCAAAAATGTCGGCTGGCTCCTAACCTACTTTGTACAGTGCAATTACTGCAATCTTATTCTCTTTAGTGCTCCACTTCATTTTCTAAACAAAAAACGTACAATAATGGCGGGAAAGAAATCTATCCTAGAAGCTAATGTTCGAAATTCAAATTATTGTTTCTTTAAAATGTATGTAAACAGCCAGTAACAGAATTTATAGCAGGACAAGTTATATTTTTTTGATATATTTCATGTATATCTATAAAATACAAAATATAAAAAAGTTGTCTACACCCCTATTGACTTAAATAAATTACCTTAATATGCTTCAGTTTATTTTTATGGTTTATCTTTGACAAGATGTAGTTTTTTTTTATATTACAATATTCTCGGTTCGTATACAGGGTCCAGGGAGTTCAGGTTCATCCAGTGCCAGCGCGGGTAGTTGGGAGTGTGGGTGGGAAGTGTCATTTGCCCGTGCGGAAGGCCTCCAAGCGCACGGTCACGTGCGTGAGGCGTGCGCGCTGGGCGCTAGGCTTGCGCGGGAACTGCTAGCGAGACCGCCGGCCCTGGGAGCCGCGTGCGCCCCGGCTCCCAACCAAGACCCGAGGAAACCGAGGCGCCGGCACATGCCCTCGCCCCGGCTCTGTGCCGCGAGCCACCGGCTCTCCTGTCTAGCGTCCGCAACACTCGCTAAGTGCGCTTTTCTGTGCACGGTTAGTATTATATTGATTTTTAAATGTATTAACTAAGTGGCAGTTTCAGTTTGATAGCGCCCTAGACAAATGAGTCATCGCCGTTCCTTTCTGGTCACACAATGGGAACGTATCGAATTATGTATTAATTATTTACTTTTTTTATAAATTTAAATTATTTTTTTATATCTATACGCGAGATTCCTTGCGTGGGTAGACAGAGAGAACCGAAAATTTGATTAACTACAAATCAGTTTATTGTTTTTTATCTTCTGAGTAGGATGTGGCACTTGACCTCAACAGTGGACGCTAAACTGAATGTCTTATAAAAACATAATTTAAGGTTCATCATTATAATTTTATTACAGGTACTGGCTGAGTTTAATGAGCATCATGAGCTCGCTTTTAGAGTTGGTCTTTTCGCTTTAGAAATGGCCCGTCCCCCAGCCAGTACAAAAGCACTAGAAGTGAAATTAAACAATCAAGAGACTGAACTTGTAACTCTTCTTAAAAAGTTACCAACTGGTGCTGAACAATTAGCGCTAGCCCGTGAAAAAGCAGAGCAACTTCGTGACGGAACCTTGAGGTGAGATTTTTTATACTGGCTAGCCATAAAAAAAAAAAAATTAAAAGCAGTTTCAGTTATCGTGAAAAAAAGTAAATCGTTCCTTTTGCCTTTTAACCCTAAATTATACTAATGCCCAATAGATGTCAAAGAATTATTTTAACAATGAGTAAAATTTTGCTTTTACAAATTAAAATACATTTTTTTCTTAGTGAAGAGTGCTTTACAATATTAGTTATTAACTACAGAAATACCTCGTTAGATATTAATTTTATTTTAACCTCTTATTTGTTACAGAAATCGTGGCCCTGCTTTATTACCTATTGCTTTAGCAAGTTTCTTGTTCGATGTACTAGTTTTGTCGGCAACCGATAAAGAAAATAAACATATGGTATGTATAATAAACTTAAACTATATAAGTGGGTAAGATTTACAATTCTATAAATGTATCACAGAAATAATGGGAGATTCAGAGTTAATACTACAATCGATGAAACACAGATATTTATAATAAAACAGGTAACAATACAAATGAATAAAGTCTTATAAAATTATTATAATTCTACAGAATAATTTCACCAAATTTATTTAAAAAATAGGTATGATGCCTGGGAAAAGTGAATTCAGTTCATAAGTCAATTAATAGAACAATAGCCCATACTTGTCTTTATTACTATAACAAAAAAAATAGCTTAGATAACAGGCATTAAAGTTGAGGAGCATGGGCTCGCTGCGTCACAGCTTTGTAGAAAATGTACATAAGCGTGACTTCATGTGATATTTTAACTAAATGTGTTACTGATAACGCAAAAAATAAAAAACGTGTTTACTCTTAAATAATCTACTTGATGGACAGACAAAAAGTCATTTTACATTACCAAGTAGCAAAGGGTTTTTTTTCTATATTTTAGGATCTCACATTGTAAATTAAACCTCCATAGACATGCATCGCAATAATATACAAAATAAGTGGTTTCTAATTTATTTTAGGCAAGACTTCCCTCTGATGAAGTTTTGGGCTTCGAAGCCGCCGTAGCTGCTTTAGGTTTGAAAGCAAATGTGTCCGAAGCTGAACATCCATTGTTGTGTGAAGGCACAAGGCGACAGCGCGGTGAATTAGCACTTACACTGCTCTCTTTCTATAAAGATGATCCTGTGAAGTTGGCTAGGATTATGAATAAGGTAAGTGTAGCTTTGAAAACAATACATATGTTTTATATGGTTTCATGGCACAGAACACAGAAAGACGTTAGAAGGGCCTTGTGGGCGTGGCAGTGTCCTGCCACGATCCTGGACAAATGTACAGAATCGTGATTTCACCACGCGATCGATATGTTTAGTCATTCACGAACGCGCGCGCTGTAAGTACTGTGAAACACGCCACTAAAAGTGTTAAAAATGCCGACTTGCGCAGTTTTTAATTGCAAAACAAGAAGCCCATCCTCAAGTAGGTCCAAAGGAAGGATTTCTATCCATTAGTAAGTAGAACACTTCTCTAATTTAGTATTTTTAGTCGAAATTCGTGAAATGTTATCAAAAGTGTGAATCACAAAAAATATTTCCAAGAAAATATACATTGCTGGAGAAGTGCGCATATTTATTACATTGCGTCGTACTAAGCACGTAATGTAAAGAACATCGCGAAATCACCGTTTTAAATAGAAACATAATAGATTACGGTAGATGGGTAGTGAAGTGCCTGGAAACATTTAATCGATTCTTGGTATATTAGGTAGTAAAAACTAAATAAAAGTATGGACGATAAAAATAGTGGCAATAAAAAATAAATTTAATCAGAGATTAACCATATTGACTTCGTTTGGTATGCGTTTGTATATTAATTTAATAATGAGTGTGGTAATAAGTCTGTTTTTATATTCTTATTATTGTAACAGAAAATTAGTTTTTATTTTTATTTTGAACCATTAACAACAATACATAAATTTTAAATCATCGGAATCCGTTCAGGATAAGTTCCAATAGCATTTATTGTACTGATAGTATTTTTTTATTTCGTTTATATTTATTTACATTATATTGTTTGTCAATATTACTAGTTTCATTTAAGCGATGTTGCCGATCTTATCTGTTCACTTGATACGAAATCGAGTAACGTAAGGTAAAAAATACCTACTATTATTATTAATAAACAAACATATTTATATGAAAATAAATATTTAAGCTCGACTAGTACCGATTCAATGTTAGTTCATTAGTAATTTAAATATTTCTTATTGAATCAACCAACAAATTAAGAATTAATATCTAAAGAAAAAAGATAATGTCTCTTTTAAACAATACAATTCAATGTATATCCAAAATAATATAAAGAAATCATTACTCTAGTAGCCTTTCAATTAATCGACTTGTAGTTTTTCAATATCGATAATAAATATCTGTCAATCACTAGTGTGATATGTCAAATTAAAACGGCTTTTACACGTTTATTGCGCACTATAGATGTCTGCTATGGTTGAGCGTGATTGGTTATAGTTATATTGGAGCGTTCTGATTGGCATGTTAAAAATGCAAGTGTGTGCATATCTTTTGTATAATTGGTCTGATATTTCGTTTGATGTACGGCGGACTGAAAGTGGGGCAAGACTGGCGACATCGGTTTTCGTACAAAGGATGCATGATCGCTTTTCTAACCTCTTTTCGGTGTTCTGTGTTTCATGGTTTAACTTTAGGACCTTTTCATCATCATCAGCCCTTTTACGTCCCCACTGCAGGGGCTCAGGCCTTCCTTATGGATGGTTAAGGAGGATGGGCCATGACCCTCCACGCTGGCCCAATGCGGATTGGAGGGTATCCACTACGCCACCGAGCTACTCGACCTTTTATCCTAGGACCTTTTATTACCACATAATTTAATAAATGATCTATATAACTAGAATCTCAGTTAGTTCTGCGAGTTGGTTGTGTTGTATAATTAATAAAATATATATGAATTTTTTCGATCTCGTCTGCTACAGTTACTGGACCGTGACATCCACCAGCTTACTAAAGGACCGATGGTGAGTATGTACTATACGAACAACCCCCGTTTGGCCGCGTATCGAGCGGACACCGCGGCTAATTCGCAGTTGTATCCTGCTCATCCACCGCCCTGCATCCCACCCCAGGTGAGTTTTTTTAAAGATTACATTTATTATATTTGATTTGAGTAATGTTATATTTGATTTTAATTTTATGTGAGTAAACAGCTATTCATTTTAATAGTACATAAAATAGATTTTTTAAATTTAGTAAGCCGTCTAATATTCAGAATTATATTGCAGAATATATATACATAAAAACAATCAAGCCAAAAATCCGAGGTGTTAAACCTCTGCATGCATTAAGACCCCCAACTTTCTAGTAAATTACTCTATTTACACCAAATAACTATTTAGAAATTTATTACAGAACATTTAAAAACAATCAGTTGAATTGACAACCTCTTCTTTTATGGAAATCTGTTAATAATAATCATATTCAGGCGGCGTGTCCACTTGTGTCTGACATGGAGCGTTTGGTGGTATCGGAAGGCGGGCCGTCGCCGCCGGCGCATACGAGTGCGCATGCGCACTCTTCACACACCCCTCACTCCACACATACAGCTCACTCATCGACGACTCACCCGCCTCTTACTAGGCCAAAGGACTCCAGGTTATATTATATTGCATATTTCCGTCACACTACTAAAACACTGAATGTTTTATAAAGTAGGTTTTTATAGATAAGAAAACCATTTTTCAAAATTTATGGATTTACGACGAACCAGCGAAAGAAAAATTACTAGAATTATCATGTTTCTGAAAAGTTTTAATTGCCATTTAATTTTTTTTTACTTTAAAAAAACAGCATAGCATATGATATATAATATTAATTATTAAATTTTTTTGTTAAATCTTTAAGTAGTAGTCATCAAGAAAAATAGTTGCTTATTAACAATCATAATTCACAGATATAAAGGAAAGCGTCTGTACCCGTCGGTACCTAACCAGCCGTCGGAAGCGTCAGCACATTTCATGTTTGAATTGGCTAAGTCTGTATTATTCAAAGCTGGTGGCTCTTCAAGTACTAGCCTCTTTACGCAGACGTCTTGCGCAAGGGAACATCACGGGCCGCACAGGTATACTGAAATATCTTTATCCAACATATGATCAATGATAAGTTTAGATGTCTTGTTACCTTTCCAATTTATAGGGGAAAAATTCCGTTAAATTAAGTCTAATATTAATTTTATAGGGGATTACATATGGCGGCTTTCCAGTTAGGTCTATATGCACTTGGTTTGCATAACTGCGTCAGTGCTAATTGGCTTAGTCGCACGTATTCGTCGCACGTCAGTTGGATCACAGGTAAGTTAAAAACTATAAGGCATTAAAAAAAATATAAGATATTTGAAACACATGAAATTCAGATTAAATGTAATATTTATAATATTGTCTCAGGTCAAGCAATGGATATAGGAGCACCAGCAATACTATTCTTGATTGATGCTTGGGAAGGCCACCTCACTCCACCGGAAGCAGCTGGGATAGCTGACAAGGTATTAAGTAAAATTTTTGAGAAAAAGAATCTTTACTATCTGGATAATTTCAACTTAAAATTGATATTTAGAAGGAGAATCAGAATCCATTCGAGCCGATGATTTTATTAAAAAATTGAGAATCTTCATTTAGTACCAGTTCTTTATGATAGGATTCATAGAATATATAATACTATATATAGTAGGTAGGACCCCATTTTCTTTTTAAAAAATTAAATAAAAGTCAAAGTGCATTGAACTTGTTGATTTTTGTTTTATGTTATAATCACGAGAAATATTACGAAAAAAAATTGCCAATAGGAGTGTTAGAATTAATTAGCTATATATGAGAATCCATGGTCTATTTTCAGTCTGCAAAAATGAACATATGTCTAAACATATCTAAGCAAATAATATCTAAACATATATTTAAGCTTATTCTATATTTTAATATTTAAAAGCAAGTGTCTTCTTGCTTTTAAAATCGATAAACATTATATACTGTTCTGATAGCTACTTGTGTTTACTGTTATTTTTGTTTGTGTGTTAAATGTTCTAGTACAGCAAAAGGATTGGAATCTGAGGTTTGAATCCATAATTATAATGGTGTTTTTAATTTTGTGATATACTAATATTTCATTAAAATTTTCCTTAGAAAGGTCCAAAATTGCCATGTTAAAAAATATAGAAAGTTGCCTAATAGTTACTTGTGGGTCTACTTATTTAGTTTATATCTATTAATAAAGAATGTTATATGTGAATTACTATATATTTTCATAAAAATAAACTTAAAAAAATAGGGTTAATAATCATACACATTCTATCGTATCAATAATACAGGTGTAGACTGCTAACGAAAATAAATACATAATTTTTCTGGTAGTGTTTAATATGCTATTACTGATAATCACACTTATGCTTATTTCTATAATATATAATTGCTTAAATTAATAAAAAAAAAAAGATTTTTTTATGCTTGTTGTCACGTGACCGCAAACAGCGCGTGACGTCACGCCCTTTTTACACATATCAGAACATAAGAGAATTCTATGTGCATAACATAGAACGATATTAGTTTCAGAGGGCCGTGGCCATAGCGACGCCATGACAAAAGTAGCGTTATCGCGGGAGATTTTGAAAATTAAATTAATTTTCAGTTTTTAACTTTTTAAATGAATGATATATATTTTTTCAATGTATTTCATGTAAATGTAAAAAAAGTTGTCTACACACCTATTAACTGTATTTGTCCTTACTGACAATCCGTCAAAATAGTCCAGAAATAATAGTGTAAACATCCACAATTTAACCCCTACACTTCACTTAGAATATTACTGTCAGAGAAACGTTGCAACTGTCTACCCCAAACTTTGTAAAAATTAATCTTTCGTACCTTTCATAACCACAATCTATTTATAGGCGTCATCCGGTCGAGACGTGCATACAGTACGCGCGGCAGCAGAATTGGCACTGTCTGTCTTACCACATGCTCATGCACTCAACTACAACGAGATTCAACGTGCAGTATTGCAGTGTAAGGAGCAAAGCGATGCTATGTTAGAAAGAGCTTGCCTCACTGTTGAAGCTGCCGCTAAAGGTAACAATAAAATATTTTATTTTTGTACAAGAACTCAGGGATCCTTTACCCTTGTTTATATTTTTAAACATTTTATAGAGCAATTGGCTACTTGACTGTTTTAAATTAGTGTATTATTTAAAACTTAATATGTACTTAATATTTTACCACAAATAATATTGAACCACTATCAGATCGAAGAGAAGAAAAATATCTTCAGAAATGTAATCCGATAAAGGAAACACATATTTTTATTCACTAAAATAAAATTATCCAATGAAAATAACCAGTCAAGTTACATGTGGAGATGTGACTTCACATTCCAGTAAATATAAGTACTGGTTGCACATTTACTTTATTGAAATGTGACGTCACATGATACTTAGTAAATTAAAATAAGTAATTTATTAAAAAAGTGCTGCCTGGTTATTGGTTACATAAGATAAGGGACAATTTCCAACATATTTAATAATGTATTGTTATAACTGTCAAGTAGATAATTTAGTTAATTGAAATTCTAAGAATGTTGTACTCAAATTTTTGTTCTTTCTTATAAATAAGATTGTTGCGACAGACTGCTATTGAGTCGTAATTTATAATAACAAATTTTGAGCAGTTATATTTTCGATATGTTTCTAGCGAAAACTTATTTTAAATTATCAGGTGGTGGCGTTTATCCGGAAGTGCTCTACACAGTAGCACGATATTGGCATGAATTATATTTACGTCAAGCAAACGAAGAAACCGAACCTGTCATGGAGGAGCCCCAATATAGAGCACCGCCTCCGGTTGCTGTGCCGGTCCCGTACCCTTTGCCGTATCCATTTACGTACCACCCGTATCCACCACCTATTTACCAACTGCAGGTCAGTATACGAGGGTCAAACTGAAAGTTCTTAGAACTGGCCACTTATAAACAATATAATAAAAAAATAATTCTAAAATTTGAAAATATAACTCTTTGCCAATATTACTGAGTATATATTTCATTCATTTGTCATTTGTTTTACGATTTGGCGGCAAATTGAAAATTGTCTGTGTCACGTCATCATGAATTTAACACGAGAAAATTTTCGTGCAATGATTTTTTATGACTTTCGATGTCATTTAAGTCAACAAGAAAGTTATGATAGACTACGATTGGCCTTTCACGATGAAGCCCCATCTCGTGCGACTGTTTACAACTGGTTTAATGAGTTTAAACGTGGTCGCACTAATCTCACTGATGATTTACGTGAGGGACGGCCTTCTACGGCGACGACTGAAGATAACATCTGTGTTGTGCGGCGTATGATAGAGACTGACAAAAGAGTGACCTATCAACAGATTCGGACAAGCTTAGGCATCGGTATGAGTCAAGTGCACAAAATCCTCCACGAACATTTAGCGGTCAGGAAGCTTTGCGCCCGGTGGATACCTCATAATTTGACTGAGGCTCAAAAACTCCATCGTGTGGATTGGTGTCGTAAAATGATTGAAAGATTTAACGGAGGTGACTCAAATGCTGTGTTCGACATACTAACAGGTGACGAAAGCTGGATTTACTGTTATGATCCTAAAACCAAAAGACAATCTGCTCAGTGGGTGTTTCCTTTCGAGGAGTTGCCAACTAAAGTGAAGAGAGATCGAAGTGCGGGAAAAAAAATGGTGGCCTCGTTCTTTGGAAGGATAGGTCATTTTGCAACAATTGTGTTAGAGGATCAAAAAACAGTTTCTGCAGAATGGTACACTACCAATTGTTTGCCACTTGTCTTGGAAAAAGTTCGAGAGAAACGACCTCGCAGTAGGATCCTCCTTCACCACGACAACGCCTCGTCGCACACCGCCAAGCGAACGATCGACTATTTGGCGACATCAAACGTTGAATTACTGGGTCACCCGCCGTATAGCCCCGACCTCGCGCCTTGTGATTTTTATTTATTTCCAAAAATTAAAGAAAAACTTAAAGGAAAGCGGTTTATGAATGCTGAAGAAGCGGTGGCTGCGTATCGCGATGCCATTGAAGAGACCCCTAAGGACGAGTGGGCAAAGTGCTTTTCCCAGTGGTTCCATCGCATGCAGCGGTGTATTGACGTGAATGGACAATATTTTGAAAAGATATAATAAAACTAATAACTGGCTAATGTAATCAGTTTTTGATTTTCTAAGAACTTTCAGTTTGACCCTCGTAAGAGTATCTATATATAAAGTTAAATAAAAGAGTAAGAGATTTTTTTATGATGCGTTTAATAAATTTTCCAGAACTGATTGTATCGTGCTTTCACTCTATTTTTTTTTCATTATTTTGGCTGCAAATCCTTACTGTAATGTTTTTATTCTGATGAGCCGTAAAGCTTCTAACCATAGTTTATTTATTCATTTTTATTTATTCAACAACATGAAGTCTCTTAGATATTGACCAATCGCTTAGAATTTAGAATTTTCTTTACATCTCCACCGGCGACTATTTTGTCATTATGGATAAGATTTTTTTAAGAAGTGTAATGCTGAATTTTTATTATAAATCTATTTCATTGTTCTCGTAGTACGGTGGAGCGCCAGCACCTCATCCAGGTCCGCAATACGCGTTGCCACCGTACTTTGTTCGGGGTTTGGTGGCGCCACCTCATCCGGCTCATCAGCCACATCCAGCTCACCAGCCGCATCCGACGCACGCGCCGCATCCGTCGCATCCGCCGCTCCCGACGCATCCGCCGTTGCCGCAACATTCGACGCATCCTTCGCACCCGTCGCATGTCCCGCATCCGCCATCCATCGCTGTCAATGTGAGTACACACGCATACATATAAATCGAACGAATTACTATTACTCCTGAGGGCCTATATGAAAACATTATTGTACGAGGGCGGGATGATAAATAGCCTAGCATAGAAAAACTTGATTTAGTGTGTTAAAAGTATGTTTATTTTTCGACATAGTCTCCTTGAAGCGCTATGCACTTCATCCATCTATGCTCTAAAGCCTTGATGCCATCCCTGAAGTGGTTTTATTCAACCCCTTCAAAATAACTGTCCACGGCAGACATCACCTCGCTATTATTTTCAAATCTTTGTCCACCTAAAAAATTTTTGAGCTTAGGGAATAGATGAAAGTCAGACGGTGCCAGATCAGGAGAATAAGCTGCAAATCATAATTTAATTCTTTGAATTTCGCCATCGCAGTGATGCACGTGTGAACGCGTGCATTATCCTGATGAAAGATTATTTTTTTTATGTTTTTTGGTTTTGGAAGGTGATCAATCATCAATATACTCTTCGAATCCCAAAATACTGACGCCATGACTTTCCCCGCTGATTTCACGGCTTTTGCTTTCTTTGGAGCCGGGCATCCTTTTTCCGTCCATTGTTTAGACTGAATTTTTGATTCAGGTATATGGTGTGAACCCAAGTCTCGTCTGTAGTAACAAATCGTCGCAGAAAATCAGTTGTATTGCTCTTAAAGAGGTCCAAACATTCTTGTGAAACGCGTTTTTGGTCAACTGTAAGCTATTGCGGCACCCACCTTGCGGATAATTTTTTCATACATAATTGTTGAGTCAATTCAACGCCCGTTCTTTAGAGATGCCTGCAGAATCAGCTATCTCGGAAAGTCAATCTTCGGTCAGCTAAACTGCATCATGAAAGTTGATCACAATTTCTGGAGTAGTGGCACTTTTTGGACGTCCTGGATCATGTTCATCTTGGGTGCTGGTACGGCCACGTTTAAATTCAGCCACCCAATTTTTTATGGTCGCACATGAAGGAGCATTTTCTCCCAAAACATCCTTCATCTCCGAAAAAATCTCTCCACCTTTTCATCCTTTTAAATGCAAAAACTTTATCACAGCTCATAGCTCAATTTTATCCATTTTGCAGAAAAAACAAAAGAATGATTTTTGTAATGTCAATATTTTAAAGAAAAACTATATGACCGATTTGAAATTTGGAACACTGGCAGCTAATGAACCAATGAGTAAAATACTATGGAGAATTTATATCGTTATTATACAAAATATTGGTTGGGCTAGCTATTTATCATCCCGCCTACGTATATACAGGGTTTTTAAACTCCAGCAACTTCGCAGGGCTTTATAGTTAACTTTCTATGTGATGATATATCGATGTGGTGTGCGGTGGTGGCGATCTTGTGTGATGATTTGTAACCTATCTTTCATATCAAACAAATATAAATTTTAATTTGTTAGGTTACATGACTTGTTTTTAGTAAGTGTTAAATGAGGGATGTTTGTGTTCAATGTCTGCGATTTTTTCAATTGTGCATGATCTAATTGGGAAAATATTGACTGCTTTTAAAAGATTTTTCAAGCCACAGAAATAAATTAGTAAAGATTCAGTGACATTAACGAAGATGAGATTTTAAATTACTGTTTGCCTTAAATTTAATACGAAATGTAAGAAATTATCAGAACAAGTTGTTATTTTATCAGGCAATTCGGTTCAATCCACTTTATTTATAATTTTATTGGATAAAATTGTGGTAATTATATCAAAAGAAAGAACATTATAATAAGTTGTTTTTTTTCAGGAATCTATTCCTTTGTTGTGGTTAGTTACAGGTAAGGAAAGGTAGACATGACAAATAACAAGAAAAGGCGTTAAAAATGTTTCCTGAGTTTGATGTTTTGGTTAGATATATTATGAAATATAGCCTGCAGCGCTGAGAATAAAATCTTACTCGAAATGTCTGAAAGAAAGTGTATATTACAGTATATCCATCGTCTGGAGACTTAAATAGAAATTAAGAGAAGATGGCACACTTGGGAATTTCACCCAAATGAATGCTGATAGTTATTTTTGGTACGCATTTAGTAATTTTTGGTGCGCATTTAGTAATTATAGGCACGTATTTAGTAATATTGCGTAAGGCAATGACTTTAGCTACTTATCTTGGAATCTGAGAAATATGTGGTGAGAAATGTTGCAAGCTTATTTAAATTGTAACTGAATTTTTAAGCAATTTATTAATGTCACATAATTTTAAATCAATATAGTGTCCACCCAAGATGGCGGACTAGTTATTTTTAGGCACACCCATTTTATGGGTTCAAATGAAAAGGGTTCGTTTAGAATATGATGATAAAATACATTAAATGATGAGTTAATAAAAACAATAAAATGCTTGTTATTGTTACTTATTTATTTATAACAACAATTAGTACCAGTAGTAAGCGTTTTAAGTGTACCAATAATAACTAGTTAACCGACTTTAAACAAGGAGGTTCTCATTTTAAATCTTGTTGACGATAGCACCCAGCGCCGATCCCGCCCCCTATGCCGGCGCAGCACGCGGCAGTGGCAGCGGTGGGCGGAGCGAGCAACGCCGGCCCCGCCCCCTCACCCGCCCCACCACCGCTACCCCAATCGCAACTACGCAGACTTTTGGCCGCGTACCGAGTGGGGATGCTGGCTCTTGAAACGCAAGCTCGAAGAGTGCACGATGACCGGCCGCAGAATAAATTTGGAAGGTATGTACCAGGAATATTGGGTATGTTCCGATATACACTGCGACCACTGAACAGTATGACTTCAATTTAGTATACTGGAAGCCCGTTCCTTTATAGCTAGTTATACTGGTGACTTTTTAAAACGGAACGCAGTCCAGTATATTGTTAATCCTATTTTTTGGCGCCATTTTCAAATTTGTTAATGCAAGGTGAATATAAATATAAAGATTCCCTCTTTTCAAAAGAAAATTGGAAAATTGTATAAAAAAAATATTTATCAATTAAATCCATCTTATAAATAAACGTAAATATTTTTTTTTGTTTATTTAGAAACTTATCATTTTCTGATTTTGTTTCGACTGATCACGTGATCAAAAGCACTGCGAGCACCATACCTCGAAATCTCCAGTGCTCACAGTACAAATATGGCGGAAATTTATGACGTCATAAATTTCCTTAGGGTACTGCAGTGTAGTGTCAGTCCATAACGGAACGGATTTTTCAGCAGTAAGACCACTGCGCAGTGCTCGCAGTGTATATCGGAACATACCCATTATCTACAAATGGAAATGCAAGTTCATGTTACATCTTAAGAAAATATAAACAGTCTAACTTATAAATATTTATTATATTTTGATTAATTTTGCATCCACAATGCCATACTGAAAAATATTCTTAATACAAAATGCTTAAAAAAATCTTAAAAAAATAGAGTTATATCAGCTGAGGAGGCGCTGCTAACTCTGTTGTACAGCAAGTTTATGCAGCTAATGATTTCATGTACATTTTGATAGAAAAATTGATGTTGTATACAAATTATCAACTGTTGATTTCTATTTTCTTATATAATCGCCCACAGCATGTCACCTTCCAAGTCGAAATTTGTGTTCCTTTCTCAATGATTTATTGAAATAATTTACTTTTGATCTTTTGTAATTTGTTTATTTGAACTAAACTGTATATATGTCTCAGGATTATGATAAAAACATGATTTTGATTAAATAATGATAGGAATAATAATGTAAATATTTTACTGTAAATATAAAATACTATAATCCATTAATAGTTTAATTGATTTCGGTTATGGTTACTTAATTGGCTTTTATCAACACGATTGTTTTTATCTGATCACTCATCAAACATGAAGGGAATCGTCCATATCTGTCTAAATTGTTTGGTTAGCACGTGTTATATGAACTACTTGATAAAGACATAATAATAGGTCACTGATAATATATTTTACAAGAATTGCGCAAACGTTCGTAAAGCTACTAATTTTGGATATCATTTATATTTCGATACCAGAGTTAATGATCTTTTATCACAGTTTAAAAAATGTAAACATTGATCTGATAAGTAAATAAGATCTCGGTTAAGACACAAACAAAAATAAAAATTATCAGTGCACAATTTTTTTTTTTTATATTAATAGAATATATTTACGAAGAAAAGAGGTCGATGGATTAATTAAATGATGAGCAAATAATTAAATACACATTTGACAAAATGTGTTGCACACACCTAACTCGCGTTACACAGTGCCCATCGGTCCTTTAGTAGGAATTATAGATGTATTAATACAATGTGTCAATTGAGGCCCCCTTTTAAGCAAGTAAATTGTTTGGCTCAGGAAGCCTCGCTCATCAACCATAACAGAATTAGAGATGTATTATGATAGGTAGGTAACCAAGGTGTAGATTTAGTTACATACTACTATGACTACGAAAATTAGAATCGATGCTTTATATATATATATATATATATATAGCATAGGAAATGTAATGCCAACGAATGTAGTCGTGACCTATAGATTATCATTAGCCGAGTGATATTTTCAGAAACCCTCCATACGGCGAACATGTGAAATGGCTTCTTCGCATATCAAAGCACTTGGGTGCACAGTACCTTCATCAGTTTTGCGTGTGCGCCGTCAATTCCGTGGTGTCTCCGTTCGTATTATACGAATTGTGCGTTGAGTCTGCGCACTGGCTAGCTAGAGGTGGTCCCCATCATCTAGTGATGCAGCATTTGAGAGGAACCCTGGCCCCGTTGGTGCAAAAGTGTCAGCAGATGTGAGTATATCTTGGTATTATATAAATTTGTCCTTAATTTATACAAATTCGAAATGAATTATATATTGTACTGTATTAATCATAATGTCATGACCAATACTTTCCCCATAAAAGTTTTTAAATGACTGAATAACAATATATTATTTTTTTTTTACAAATATAAAAAATGTTCCTAGTTCTATTCGAAAAGTTGAAGATAATGTTGTAAATATATTTTATTTGATCACCAATAAGTCCAATAACATATTAGGTAAATATATAAAGCATAAGCACAATGTTAACTCGTTCCCTCATCTATTTTATATGCAATTTATAACTGATAGAAAGAAATTAATGCTAATTGTGACTTGTGTCAATAATTAGTGTCACTAACAATGATGTATCGCTTTAAAGTAAATGTTTAATTATATTTATGTAATGGACGACAGGTACATACAATGCATACATCAGAAACTATACCATCTGACTACGGTGGAGTATGAGGAGTTTGTCAGCATTGTGCTATCAGCACGTACCGCCTTTCAGCTAACGCCCGAAGGCAACACGCAGTTCAAAGAATGGCTCGCCTCACTGCGCAGGTCTATATTAGTATTACTATTATTAGATGTTTATATACGTAAAGTAATATGCAATACGGTCGGGTGTTTGTTCCATGTTTTCTGTTCCATGTTTAAACAACATTCACAAAGGTCGTTCATCAGCAGGTCCATTGCAGAAGATTATGTGCCTAGAATTGATTAAGTTTATGTGTTAAGGTTGATTTTGACGAACCTCCTAAAGGAGGTACGCTATAGACCATCAAATGAGAGACTAAGAAATAACTATCTGTTGGTCTTGATTGCATCTGCAGTTGTTAGCACCCATCAATTTACATTGGATTCGCGTGGTGGGTTATGACACGTTTCCTTCTAATAAGGAAAGTCCGTTCTTAGCAGAGGGTATTCAATTCAATAAGTTCTAAATGTCATTTTTTTTGTATAAATTTGTCAGGTGGATTATTGAAGAATATTAAATACGTATTTTTTTTTATGTTGAAATGTCGCATGACGTCATACTTTTGTATATTTTCAACAGAACTGTGCCGGCTGGCTAAGCCTCTAAGCCATTTCTTGTTAAATTAAAACAAAAAAAATATGCAATATTATTCTATTATCTGATTGATGGATTAAAAAGTTTTTTTTTACCTAGTCATAATCCCTTAGATTTTAGATTTTAAAGATCGATTGACTTTAGAACTATGCCTAACTCTCTACCTGCTTACCTACAACGTGACGCAACTTTCAGATCGAAATCATGCAAGAAGGATCTGTGGACGCAACTCAATGCGGCCCTCCAGACGAACGGCAAATGACGTCGGCAGCCGATAGTTTGTATGGTGCGGTGTTCCGCGCGCAAACTGTCACACTACATCGGCCACCGCAGGCCGCGATACCGCCTCCTGTATCAACTACACACACTCTAACTGTATTACAACCTGTGCTATTTGTGATCACCGGTTAACTCACGTATATAGTGTTCCGAATCATCGTTCATATGCGCTCTAGTTACAGATTTTATTATCATACAAGAAGACTTAATCGGCGTTCGAATATTTAATGTTATATAGAAATATGAAGTACGAATCTATTTTTATCGTACTTAAATTAAATGACGACCTTACCTCATAAAAAAATATAATATTACTAAAATACTGAGTAACTTATTTATTCGTAGTAAAATCATATTTGTTAATTTGGAACATTGGATCATTGATTAATGTCTTCCTGTATTTTGTTTTGTATTACTATGTTAGTTAATATGTCACCGAATTGGTAATCCACGATTAATAATAATGTTACCATCCCATCACTAAAAAAATTGTATAACTCTTGCCATGTTTAATATGTATAAGGCATGCTTGAGCATTCGTCGCCAATTCGATAGTTATTTTATATCAAAACGTCAAATAAATATTCTGTTGTATTTTACACATAAATTTTTTTTTAGTTAAAAATAATGAATGGCACGGGGTTTTTAATAGGTAAGGTACGACTAACGAATCCATCGCGTATCGACTGGCTGTCATTAAAATCATATATTATTCATGGTTTCAGATTCAGGTAAAGTAATATATAATACAATATATCTCTGTTAGTAATATTTAACACTTTATTGAAGGACAGATAGATCTCATTAAAAATTACGTAAATGATCGTTTTGATGGTCACCTATAAATGTTGCTAACTCCTCGATATGAGGCGAAGTTGCAATGCTTTTCATAGCAAAGCTTACTATATCGCATACTAGTATCGGGAACGTCGGCTTACTGATCCATTAAAGACGCACATCATCGAAGAACAGATCTCAATTTGTAAATATTTGTATGTGATTCACCCCTTTCATTATTTTACGTACCTACCATTACCGTCGCGAAAAGACAAGAAGCTCATTATGATGGTTGTGCTTATAAATAGTCTGAGGTTCGGTTGTAAATTGGAATTCTATTTATGAGTCAGAATTATTCTGACTACCTCGTTTGACCCGTCACGGGAGTTTAGCAACATTTTGCTTTTAATCTGTTGTATGTGCAATGTAAGAGACTAATTACATGTGTGGTTTTAATCGAACGGTAACTACTTATTTTTGTGCACAAATTTTTTTTGATGATTTTTCCCGTTTGGTACTTTTCAATCAATATCAATGAATAAATAATAGCCGATCCATATACTGGATAACAGCTAGTCAATATTTTTGAGGAACTGTAATGGATCAACAGTAACACCTCGGCACTACAGTGGTTTCGATTTTTTTTTTAATAGTTTAACAGGTAGTCGTTTGTTTTTAATACCTTCTCCTATGTTTGATTGCATATTAAAATGTGTGTTCGTAAGATATTAAAATTATTAATTCGTGCGTAAATGTTAATGTTTGTGGCGGTATTTGGTGAGTGTCTTTTAATTCAGGGTTTCGCTGATTTGTCACGTTTTATTAGTTTTTCTTTTACAATTGATTATTGCTTTAGTTTATATTGCGTGTTGGTAAACAACTGTTCCGTCATGACAATTTTTGCTAAACACACACAAATTTAAACAACATTTTAAAAGTATTACCATTATCAATAACGATCAAATATATGTCATTGGAAAGTTCTTTGCGATGTTATCATTCCGTAATATGGGGCCTTCAGGGCAGTTTCAAGTAACTGGGAAAGAATAAAAAAGATCAAAACTTAACAATAACCAATAGAAGTTAACAATAACTGTTATTGTAATTTGATAAGCCTGCCTGTCAAAATTAAGCCTCGTCAGGCTGATCCACCGCCAGCAGCCCAACCAGGGCTAGTCTGTACAATCCTAGTAAAATTATGATTGGTCTGCTGACTGTTCATATGGAGCGCCATTTTGACAGATCAATCAGAGCTCCAACTGCGCGGTAGATTCGCAGGTAACAATGATAAACATGAAAAAGTTTTCTAATGACATAACGTCCAGTCGTTTATTGATAAGAAGGATATTTTGGCAAATATTCTTATTGGCAAATATTTATACTTTTGACTACACTAATATTTATTTCTTTTTATTTCAGTTGAAAACTATTGCATGGAAAGTTGTACAGTTGTCTACATAACAATAAATTATTTATCAATGTCCATTTAGCTAATTATTTAAAGATCTCCATCACACGTTTAAGGCGTAAGGCCCTTAGGAAAATATTGATTACGCTCATTGTATTGTCTTAGCTATATTTTTGAGATAATATTAGAGAAAATGTCGAATCAAATAACGGAATGTAACATTTATCGTATTTTAATGCATGAATGTGCACACTTTTTAGATTTAACGAGTGACATGAGTGGCTTGTTGCGTAGCACAGTCAAAATATAATGACGATATCATGTATCACGACGATGTTTATGACATTCGAAGGCTATTAAATTAACGTTACATCGTCAAGTTTATGCAGTTGCAAGTTTGAATATGCCATATTTATTATCTGGCTTATTGTATGAATGATTCGTAATTGATAACAATAATCCATATTATATTGAGGATTGGCTTAAGATGATTCAAGTGACCTAAATATCGTCATTAGACTACAGAATACTAGACAGAATGTAGGCGATGTCAGCCGACACACTATTTTTGATATTCTCTTGTCGAAATTTGCAGTTTCATGATTGATTACGTAACGAAGTCTTGTGTAATTTAGAAGTGCGATTGATTGACCTATATATTAACTTTATTTACACGTTTATAATTATATTATTATATATTGTAATGCAAAGTAGCATCTTGAGAGCCTTCGGAATAGAACTACATAATAAAATAATATATGACGACTATGCTGGCAACAAATACACGGCCCCATATTTGTTTCAAACATTGTTTATTTATTGATTTTATGGTAAATTTTGTATATCCCTTTTAGGTCGTATTAACTAAAAAAAAAAATTATTGTAAAGAATAATGTGACTTCATATTATAATATTAATAGTTGAGCATTTCTAGACAACTTCCGAAATTTATACTTATTATCGTTTAGTGGCCTTAGAACTGAATAATCATTTCAAAGTTAGATTATCAGAGTATTTTATAAACAGTATGAAAAGTTTGGATGGCATATGGAGTGAAAGTACCATCGCAATTTTTATATATGAATAAGTTTATCATAAACCTAATTTGAATATCCAATAGCATTTCGAGTGTTGTACCGTTTGTAGTTATTTCATTAGATTGTTTTTTCTTTAGTTTTATCAACGACCACGGTACTTTCTCTCCATATGGAATAAGGATTTTCCATTAAAATAAATAATCCCCTTTCTCTTGTGTCACTTACAAATTAATGAATAAATTAGAAAGTTGATATAATAAAACGAAAATATTTAATCTGTAAGATCTAACCATAAAGCAATATTAAAATATCATTTTATAAAAGTATTTTAGAATCATAGTAAGCTATCTAATTTATATCATAATATCGATTTTTACACTGTGTAAATTGTTCGTATAAAAAGTGTGAAGTGTTATTTGAAATGTAATTGTATTAAAATGGGCAGTTTGCATAAATACTGCGATTCGAGTAGGGAGAGCTGTTGGACGTATCAATTCATGAATACAGGATGACGCAAAGCTATTAGCGGCATTTTGTTGGAATGCTTGCGAACAGCTCGATTTGTGAATCGTAAATTGTGGTGTTTGAAGCAATGTATTCCTATAGTTGACAGTCGTGCCTATTTTATATGTCGATAGCAATGTTGTAAGGAGCATCCATTTTGTGCCTTGGCATCGAAGTTGTGGCATGTTCAAGTACAAAAATCGTATTTCACGGACATATACCGTTATAAAAGGGAAACAAAAAGTCCTAAATATGGATAACAAGCGAAAATACTTGGTATTTTAACGTTCGAGATTGTAATAAGTGAAATCTATAGTATTATATAGTGTCCTACCGCATTCAGGATGTGTAGTTAAGATAAAATACAGCCAGCGAACACGAATGAAAATTGTTGCTGCTTAGAATAAAATTAAAGTTACTTTTTCTAAGAACAAAGATCATGCTTAAATACAAACGAAAAATATCTATTTTGCATGTAATATATTAATCGTTTACATTAGAGTAAATATTTGCGATAAAGTAAATCTAAGCGCTTATTGTCTATGACTGATTTCACCGACCGAAATCCATTTTCGTACGCAAGCGAAAATATACGAAAGACTGTTTTTAATAGTAATTTGAAATCGAAAAACTAAAGTCAACGGTTGGACACTTAATATCATGTAACCTAAAATTGTTAGAATAGGCAAGGTAAAATGCAGTGTTCATTCAGACGGAGTGGAAATTAAGGAACTGACATTGAAATGATTAATGATGTTGCCAGCTAGCCGTCGAAGTAGTTTTAGTTCAATATATTATAAATTAGCTGTTAATATGCATTCATCAAAAGTGTGAATGTTTTCAGCATTCAGTAGATAGTAAATTTTTAGAATGCTAGTTAGTATAAATTGACGTTTGTAACAATTTATTGGTTTAAAGCTACGCAGATCTATATGGTAACGGTTCTGTATCATAAAAAGGTAAAAGCGAAATGTAAGATATTGGTCCGTTTGTCTACATATATCTTAAACTGCTAATGGCTTAAAATTATAGTAGAACTTCTTAGTCAGATGGAAATATATGTGTGGTTAAAACTTTAACGATACTTATGTTGTCTACAAAACTTAATTATATATGTAATAACTTGTTATTATATTCCCATTGAAAAGTTATTTGTATTCTAAAGGCAAAATCAATCAATAGCAAATATTTCAAACATATTAGGAAGGTTTTTTGTTTATGCTCATGGTAAAATTATGCTAATATTTTTAATTTATA